ACACCATTTTTAATTAGAATGGCTACTCCACCATAGCCATCCATTCTATCTTCTCTAATAGTATGATAACCATTAATTTTAAAATTTCTTTGAGATGTAAGCCATGTTTCAGACAAGGCTAAAACAGAAGGCTCTAATTTATTTATTAAATGAATAATTTCATTTTTTTTGCTTAGGGCACTACGGCAGTTCCACTGTATTATCTTGTCTGTTTGTCTGTCCATTGATGAATTGAATGTTATTTTTAGTAATCTGAGCAGCGTTGGACGGTGGAAGGATATTGAATTGAGTAAACACATTGAAGAGAGCATTAATAAAATCAGGAGGGAGTTGATTCACTGAGGATGTTCTGTCATCACTTGTACTAAGACCACAGCCATTGTTAGGGGTAGGAATTGCAAATTCCTTCAATATAGTATTATGGGCTATGGTATCATAGCCTTTTGAAAATGCAGGCATATTACGCGGTTTCTTAAAAATAGTTTTTTTATAAGATGTTGTGTGGTTTATGTTACTATTAGATAAATTACTAATCATAGGTTCATTTACTATTTTTGTGGAAGGGGTCATTAAAGTATCAGCATAGGACCTAGATATGGGTGGAAGTAATTTTGATGCTTCTGCGTATGATACACAGTTTTGTGCCATGTATAATTTTATTTGGGATTGCCTAACATATTCCGGACAGGATTTATTATTGGCGTAGTGATGCCCATCACACCAGCAGCAGAGCGCATCTTCCTCTGTGATATTGCATGAGTCACCTGTATGATTTTGACCACATTTAAAACATCTAGGTTTAGATCTACATTGAACTGTAGTATGTCCGAAACGGCAGCAGTGATAACATTGGATTGTAGGAAATATATACAGATCCACATTGAGTGCATTGTAACACATGAAAATTCGTTTTGGTAAAATTTGGCCATCAAAGGTTAAAACTATAGTTTGGGATGGCTTCCAGGTAGGAGTTCCATCTACAAAGGATTTATAATTTAGTCTCCTTACTTTCAGAATTTCACCACAACCTATGGGAACAGAAATATTACTTTTAACTTCCTCCAGAGACCACTCTGCAGGGACACCTCTAACTAAACCCATTCGTGTAATGTTAAATGTTGGAATATATGCTTTTAAATTATTTTTTGACCAACTACTATGATTGATGAAATTATTTGCATCAGTAAATTTTGAGAACGAAACTTGCATTTTATTTCGCCCAATCTTTTTTACGCTTCCATTAATTATATTGTAAAAAGAGTTTTGTTTGAGAAATTTACCAAACGACATGGGATGCATTGTGATTCCGTCTGATGATGAATCTTGCTCTCTCTGTACATGCACTACAAAAGGTGAAGCATCGGTTTTGTCATAAAACTTCCTACCTATAGGAATCAGTACTGGGGAGGGTATGGACACAGGAGAAGTTTTAGAGTCATTGACACTCAGGCTATTTGATTCTTGTTGGACTGGCGTTGCGGTGGATTCATAGCAACTGCAATCTGTAACTTTAGGTTCTGACGAGGAATGTTTGCGCCTTTTTTTGTTGCAATGTTTGCAAACATGGAGCCGGCTCCGTTTTAATGTGCGACTGGACATGGAACCATCTGTTTCCATACCAGATTCATTATTTGAAGTAATGGTAACAAAATTACTAGCCGGGGGGACGTTCATACAACTATAAGATAATAATCAAATTTTGACTTACCAAGGCAGCAGGGACAATAAATAAAGAAATACACTAAATATATATACAATATTAATAAACAAACCTATCCGCTGATCACTATTTTAACTTCTATTAAGTAAATATTTTCAGATGCCAAAAGAACGCGTCCGCCAAGTTGGAAGTTTCCCGCGCTTTTTTTCCGCTCGCTACTTTGTGTGAACTGAGGGCACGTCCTGACATTTGAAGGTGAGTGGTCTCTGTTATGCCACTGGATGTCAAACAGCTTGATCAAGCGGCATGAAGATGAGTGGCTATCATCGATGGCCGATGGCAACGAGGCCAGCCCGCATGTTAGTACTCGGAACGAAAATAAAACCGCGTAAATTTTTGTACAGTCTTTGTGCCTGATTTCCTTAAAGGTGTCGATCCTGGCATGATTCTCTAAACTTAAAACTAAATTTAACATCAGTCTCTCCAATTCATTCTGAATTGAGAATGACAAGGGTTGTTGTTTACACTGTTGTCAAATTGAATTTTATGTTTAGAGTGTCATGCCAGAATCGACATCAGTCGCACATCAATTTACCACAAACTGTTTAATTTTTTTAACATATTGTGAAGTTATTTATAGCTCAAATTAAGTTAGAGCTTTACAGTTTTTAATATGTAACTTGATCTGTCGCTGTCTAAGCCTACGAGCAATAAATGTGGTGCTAGATTCATGGTCAAATAATCAAATTTCAATGTTCACTTTTACAAAAGATTAAGTGGCTAAAGTACTTACCTTGTTTCCGCTCAGTGACTTTTAATTTGCATTAAAAAAAAATACCAAAATATCTTGATTAAATACTTCCTGCGAAGTTCATATACAAGTCATAAGTAATTAGTATACAATATATTATTATGATATTGTGTAAAAACCGGTCGTAGCATAATGTAACTAAAATCATCCAGTAGACTCGATAAAAAAAAGGTTATGGCCACAACGATATTATTGTTTGTTGGTTTTTAATATACCACTCAACTCGTTACTTATATAGTTATTATAATTTGATTCTTAAGCCTAGAAGGAATATATTTTATTATTCTATTATAAACATGTTCTTATTCCTCCTAAAACACGCAATAGATTTTGATGTGGTTTTCACGTGGAATTCTCCATCCAGTTAGATTTATATAAACAGGAGCTTCATATTTGTACTAGCTCTCTCCAATGTATACACTGGACATCAAATAAATCTGACTACTTGGGACCTCAGAACCATGAATATTTTGATTTTCTCTTTAAAATATTAATATTAAACTTGCAAACTGTAGAATGTTATACCTACAGAAAATGCGTTTCATGATAATTAAAATGAACAGGAATTTATTGAGATTATTTTTTTCTTTTAGTTTTTACAAAGAGTTTTCCAAAAATGAGTCGTTTTTCTATTTTGTTAATCGGTAGAAACGTAGCAACACACGCGTCTGAGAAAACTAGTTATGAAATTAACAATAATTAACACATTATTTCGAAATTAATGTTCACTCTTTACTATTTAAATAAAAAGCACAGTTGTTGACGGGGTTCTAATACAATTAACTATGGACTAAACAATTAGGTTTCAAAAATTTGTCTGAAACATCTGAAATTCATATAATAGATGTTTGAAAATACTTAACAAAAATTATGCGTATAAGAATTGAGAATATTTAAATACCGCGCGTGTTACATGATTAAAAATAAAGATAATAACATCCGACGATCAGTTTTCATGATATTATATTCTATGCGTCTTATATCATTATAAACTACACATTGCAGTCGTCATCAATGCACATACATAATAGCAATGAAATTAAATGTGGACAAAAAAATATTTAATGATAAAAAATATATATACTTGTTTTTATAGTAAACATTGTTTCGTTAAATCAGCAGGGAGAATTCAGCTCTAAAAAGAAGAAACAAGAATAGTAGATTTATTAACCAAGGGGATAAAGCAGTGTCTTCCGTCGCGGGTGACGATTTAAATCACGAGCGTAACGAGGGTGTTAAAAACTTAAATCACGAGCGAAGCGAGGGATTTAAGACGAGTCCTGAGTATAGCGAGGGATTTAAGTTCACCCAAGACTAAGACAGCTTTATCACCGAGGAAAATACTCTACTTTTCGTACCATTTGCGAAAAAATTAACACAATAATAATATGAGATAAGCATTTATTAAAAATAATGACAATTAAAAGTAAAAGTTAACATTCGAAACATCACCGAATTAAATACGGCCTCGTCGGTTTTCGTAATTTTATTTAATAATCGTAACTGCACAATAAATGCGTATTCCTTTTTCAAAAAGATGTTTAATGCTTTTTAAACAAACTCAATGGTGTAAACACAGATGTAGTTCAGTATAAATTTCGGTAACTATTCCAAATTTAAATCACATTCTCCCCCTAGAGGATGAATGAAATTCAGTACAATTTTCTTTCCCTGTTTTTAACAGATTAAAAATGACTATTGATATTCGCTTTTTGTGGCATAGAATGTCACTTTTTTGAGCAAGTGGTACGAAAAGATAATTTATATAAAAGATGTCTTAAACAGAGAGCTTGTCATCTGATTCTTTATAAAAATTAACATTAATACTTGATAACTACTTTAACTTTTTAGTTTTTGAACGACACATAAAATATGTCTTTAAATAAAATTCAACAGCAGGAATTATAGGTTCAGAATAAGTAAGTTTTATATACAGATAGGTTTGTAAAAAAATCCTCGTTTTAAAAATTAAGATTATTAGTTTAACCTGGTAAAACACGAAAGAATTAATTTGCTGATTTTTAAAAGTAAACTATAAATATAATTAGCAATGGAGGTTGAATGATAATAATTAATATAAGATTCGCGCCGGAAAGTCTGAAGTCCAATGATAGCAATTATAATTTATCAACAGTTTTCATCATCACCTTTTTTATGTCCTTGTGATTTCTTATGGTTGTGATAGGGGGAAATTAGGCCATGTCATGACCAATCCTAGCGTTAATTAGTGGGTATTAACAACTGCAGATGCAGCCGGGACGAAACGGCTTAACATGCCTCCGCCCTCACGACAACGCCTGGAATACCTCTAGAGGCACTTGCCAATTCTCGGCTTGAGGTCCCTTTAGGATTTTCCGTCCCCAAAACTCGGCGACGTTGTTAAGATCGTCTGTGACCAACAGCATACATATTAAAAAAGGATTAATATGCCATCTGACCCAAGGAGAAGCACTAGATGACCATTTTTGGTCTACCTTCCGATGACCGTCTATTGCGAAAGTTGCACTCCCACAATCGCAGACCTGACGCGCTATAACCGCTTGTGCCATCGAGTTCCTCAGTCAGTTCTTCAATTTTATTTTACAAGAAATAAATTGATTTAGAATAATAAGCATTTATCAAAATTAATACTACTTACATATTTTACAATCATAAAGTACGTTATTTTCCAAAAGTGCTTACCTATTTTAATAGTATTTTCTGCCAATATAATTTTTTTAAAGGTAAGAAGAGATTTAGCTTTCAGAAAATGGATTTATTGTGTCAAAATACATTTCATTAGTGGCAAAAACGCAATTAAAATAAATATTGAGGTAAATGCACATTAATTAATAACCGTACGACAAAAAACATTAAACCCTTATCACTTATCAGCCTTGAAATATATATTCTTTTATTTAAAAGTATTTCAATGCAATTGTTCGAGTTGAATACAAATTATTATAGTGGAACCGTCTAACGGGAACGTGTACCTAATTGTAGCAAAATAGTAATAACCATTTACTTGAGTGAAAATGAACATTTCTAACTTAGGTATTACGTTCCCTAGGAAACGTCTATTGTCTTTTTTCTTTCCAATGTTATTTAACTTTGTGTTAGGTAAGAATTATAAGCGTATCAGGGTTTCACAGATGTTCGTTCGCAAAGAGCCGTATGACTTAATAACAAATTCTGCCAGAGTACTAGAGGGACAGTCGGCGCACGCACACGTGTGATGTGTCTTTAAAAACTAACAAGAACATAACAGACTCCGGGGCAGAGAGTTCATTACCATCACACCATCTGAGTGTCTACCGATCACGGGTCATTGCCATATAACTGGTAAGTAAGTAAGCAATTGGAACTATTTGAATTTAATATAATGATAAATAACAACTTAGACGATACATAAACTTGATATTTAAAAATTCTATTGTCAATTTACAGACAGCAAAACTATAATCACGATCAGCTTGATAACGTTTGCCCATTATAATTTTTACTTTTTCAGTAAAATTACTTCATAAATATGTAATTTCATTGCGAAATACTGTAAAATTATTAAGTTTAAGAGCTTGATTTGTGCTTAGTTATAGGCTGCTTTCAATTAAGTAACTAAAGTACTAGTTTTATTAACCTTAATTATATTTACTCGCCTTTTATAGATGCAATGCAAATTAACTTAATAAATAATAACTCTAGTTAATATGAAAAATTTCTCATATTTATATTCCTGTAAATAATAATTTTGAAATTATTTTAAAAATACTTTTTCGAAATTATTTACTCTTTCTATACAAAATCAATAATATCTAGATATGAAAATAAGCGTATACAATAATATATAAGAATTTAATTTTAAATGCATTGCCTGCTTAAAGTCAAACAATTAATGAAATCAGAAATCAATATATCTTTATTCAAATTGGATCTAACTCTTTTGAATCTTCCAAAATCATTTTTTCCCAACCACTCGTTATTGGACATATTTTTTAGCTGCGGAGGAAAACGAGCGAAAAACTCTACAACATTAAAAGTATAATGTAACAATATTTACAAATCTTTGTGTTGTTACAGCGTCAATACAATCATGATTTATTTAATATAGAAAAGCTGTTGGATGAATGCAGTTATATTACAGCAGTATTCGGACATGACAGCAGATATAGGCGTAATTAAATAAAAACTTCTATCCTAAAATAAGTGTTAGATGTTTAGTAGTTTACCTGATACCTACTAAGAAAACAAAAACAACGAGCTAATATAGACAACCAGTTCTAAAAATTATGAGGGGAAGGAGCCATTCACATAGACTCCCTATCAAAAACCAGTTGTTTTACTCTTGTACTTAATAGAATATGTTTTAAAACGTCGCAATGTATCGTTTTATTAACTATTTTATTGCAGTTTGAAAGGTATAAAAAGTAATTATTTTCTATTTCATATTGCAGTTCAACTAATCCATATTAATATTATTATTAATGCGAAAGTGTCTGTTTGTCTGTCTGTTACCTCTTCGAGGTTAAACCGCTGATACGATTTAAATAAAATTTGGTTAGGAGATAGTTCGCTTCTCGGGGAAGTATTAGGGTAGTTTAATCTATAGAATTATCCTTAAAGGGGGTGAAAATGGGGGATGCAAGTTTTTAACAAAACACCATTTATTTCACGTTATAAATTAGATTTTTATTTTATAAAAATTGGTTTGGTTATATGAAACCACGATGCCAGTGAAACTTTTAAAATAATTGATAAAAAAAAGTCCTTTCTCGGCTGGGATTGGAACCCGGGCCGCCCGCGAAGGAGGCGACCTTTTTGCCACTGAATCAGCGATGCTTATTTTATAAAATCTGATTTGTTAAAATTACAAAATAAAATTGTGGCGATGTAATAAAAGTTTCACTTTAATAAAAACGAAACGAAGCAAAGAGATTTATCTGACTTAAGAGTTTATTAATTCTATTATATACCAGGCAAAAAGTTTAGTACCTACACACTAACTAAAAAAATATCATACAAAAAATATCAAGTTCTTCAACTTAATCCTAATTTAAAAAAGTCAATGACCCGATTCATATTAGGTATTGCAATAGATTTAAATGTAAATAATGAATTGTTACCCATATAAGTACTTAAGTTGCATAATTAAAGTATTGAGCTGGAGGAGCTCATATCTCACAAAATTCTATTTTGGAAACTTGTGGACGTACATTTATTAGATAATTGAAATAATACACTCAAACATTTACTAAAACAGCTTTGATTAATATTTAAAAAATATTCCGAAAAACAATGATAATATGTTCAGGTTATGATATGGTGTACTTAAAATAGCACCTTCATTAGCCAGCTTTGAATATTATGCTTTTTGATAATTAATAATACAGCGTTTACCTTAATGATAAATCAAAAATATATCAAGGAAAATATTTCGTTGTTATTCAGTGATAAAGTTAGATTTAAACGGGTATATTACATTGTACCTACTCCATTAAATAAACGAAATGTCCAATAATTTGTAAGGATTTAATTTCATCCAGAATTCGGTAAGGTATACGCTATGTCCAGAAGTCGGCTGTGTATGTTGTATCACATGACAGCCAACATTAAGAAAAAAACATAATAAAACAAAACCGACTTCAAAAAATAATAAGACATAAGGACTTTTTAGCGGGTTCGGAAAGCGTCACTTTAATAGTTTTGTTTTTCTTGTTAAAAATTGTGTTGTAGCGGATGTTAGTGTCTAATAATGGTGAATTATTAACCACTAAGTGTTCGGGAACGTGCACAAGTGTTGGCAAGTGAAACAAAATAGCGGAAAGTGTCTTTCGACGTTCCCTCAAGAAGTCCACGGGGAGGTTCCAGTAAATCCCCACACTTTTACTGAAACATAGGAAAAGGGGGATTGACTTGACTGCCACTTACTTTGACTTGATTTATTACTTTGAACACGAGTGCTATAGTATTTGTAAACATTTTAACACTTGACATTGGCTAAATGCACAAGCCGTGCGAAGGCATTTAGAAAGAAAAAAAAGACAAAGCAAACTATATAAACTATATAGTAGATTAATTAACCAAGGGGATAAAGCAGTGTCTTCTGTCGCGGGTGACGATTTAAATTGCGAGCGTAACGAAGGACTCGAGGTTTACTCCCGAGCGTAGTGAGGGTGTTAAATTTAAATCCCATTCTCCCCCTAGAGGATGAATGAAATTCAGTACAATTTTCTTTCCCTGTTTTTAACAGATTAAAAATGACTATTGTTATGTTCGCTTTTTGTGGCATAGAATGTCACTTTTTTGAGCAAGTGGTACGAAAAATATATTTATTATGTTAAAGAGGTGGCAAACAAGCGTATGGCCCATCTGATAGTAAGCGGCCAACATAGCCTTCTATAGGCGCTTGCGATACCAAAAATATCACTCGCTCCGTTATCTACCCTGACCCAACTCACTAACAAAAACACGACACCACCTAAAGTTAGCTTTATTTTACTGTAATCATCTGTGAGGTTCCTTCTCCAAACGAGAGCTCCAATTCGAGCGGCAAATTTGCGATGCCCTACCTCTTATAAATATTATGTTTACTTATATCTTAACTGCATTTAAAGTCAAATTAACGCTTTTAGTGTCGTTGCTATGCTAATCAAAGCAGTTAATATTATGGCACCGAATCAAAATGTAAATTTAACTTTAAATGTAGGTACTTTAGTATGTATTTTGCGCTCAAATTGGAGCGCCCGTCTGGGGAGGTAACCTCCACCTTACACCACAGTAAAATAACACTACCAATTATGGCAGTGTTGTGTTTCTGTCGGTGAGTAGGGTTCCAGGGCTCTACGGGGTCAGAATAGGCTTACAATACGACTACAGTATCGCAAGCTTTTAAAAGCTATGGTGGTCGCTTATTATCAGGCGGGCCATACGCGTGTTTGCCACCCTTTTAACATAAAAAAGTAAAAAATATGTATTATTTAAAGAAAAGTTTACTAGAAAAAAATCCACGCTGACCAGGCAACATACGGGAATTGATCGATTGCAGACTGGTCAGCGTGGATTTTTTTTTGTAAACTTTTCTTTAGATTTAAATATCAAGCAGTTAAATGCTAAATAAAAAAACAACATTAATATGTATTTTTTTTTACTTTTTTATGTTTCTTTTTTATAAAGTCGGTTTTATTTTTGTAAAAATAATTTTTATTTTTTTACTTTTTATAAGTTGCTAAGTATATGACTAAACTAAGTATAGGAGGTGTAACACAGTCGCTAATTTCCAATTTCTATAAAGCTTATTTTTTTGTTGCAGCTTAAGAATGAAGTTTTGTAGACCGGTGGTTTGGTTTTGTCTCGCTATTTGTTCTTTCTTGTCCGTAAATGGAGATGATCCCACGGTGATACAAGTCGACGCTGCCGTGGTTATTAAGAAGGTAATCATATGTTATAACTTAAATTTTAGGCATTGTAATAAAATACAAATAATCAGCATATTTGATTATATAATTGATATAGCTTTTAGACAATTTGAAGAACAATTTGTTATGTCTAAGTCTCTTTTAATGTATTATCGTGGTGTCCACACGAAGAGTTATTTTTTTTTACTTACAGCAACATAAAATATTTTATTTATTATTTTCTAAGATACCATACCAACACATTTACTTCCCGCCTGCATCCAAATATATTTTGTAATAATGATGAATGTAAACTAAATATTAACTAATTCAGTTGTCAACTTCGAATATTATCAGCCATGTAATCTCAATGCTTGCCATATGGCCCTTCTATTGAGAGAGAAGAAACCCGATACCAATATGCCTATGATATCGATTCTGCTTTAATCTATATAACTAAAAATTAATCACCGAAATGTATGTAAGCACATAACTTTCGAAAGACTGCATCAAATTGGATATTTTTTCTTAACTGTGATCGTTATTGTCAGGACAAGGTAAGTAACAAGTTTGTTCAACAAGAAGTTTGTCAGGTCAGCTAGTACGATACTAAAAATAGCGATTTTATAGTAAAAGCAAATGAAAGTACTAAATGCAATGTTGTTTATAAATTATTATTCATTATTATAAGAGCCTCGTCAGTTATTGAGAAGTTGGAAAGAATATGAAAGTCCATTATATTGACAGCAGTTTCATTGTAAAATTAATCTATTATGCCGTCACGCTGTCAATATAAAAGTAATCTTAACACGTTTATAATAAGCGTTATTTTTATAGAGTTCATCTCACAACATCAGCATCATCGGGAATGAGTTTATGCTGGATGGGGAACCACTGCATATAATGTCTGGATCGTTGCACTATTTTAGGCTACCTGCAGTGTACTGGCAGGACAGACTACGAAAACTCAAGGCCGCGGGATTAAACTCTGTATCCACGTAAGACATTTAAAAGATAAATCCTTTGATTATTTATACGCCTATATAGAGCAATCCAAATAAACCACGCAAAGAAAACGCCGCAAAGAAACTCGCAATCTGTGCGTTACTCTAATGTCAGATAGTACTAAAGCAGTCAATGTGTGCGCGTTGTGTAATACAATAATGTATATAACTGTAATTTTCCATAAAATTAAAACTGCCGAGTTACATTAACGCAGCCCTCACATTATTTCATCAATTCCCACAGTAAGACTTCGGCAACGAGAAAGAATGGATCACCCGGGTAGATCAGGACTTGGTACTCGATTTCGCGTGTGTAATTCTGTAATTAATTTCCATTAATTTCGTATCACAGAATTTTGAAATAAAAAGACGAAAAGCGCCGGTCTCCTAACAGTGTGTAGTGACAAGCATATCTACCATATGTAGTAGATATTTTTTGTGCCCTTCCGTGCATTTAATACAGTATCTAGAATATATATAATCAAAGGATAAATCCTTAGCCTATTAATAAAACTTGTCTCAGGAGGTCTATGGCACTAACGGTTAGCGCATTCGATCTGCGATCGTGGAAGTTAAGAAACTTTAGAAATGCCTTATTTGGAGCTCCACTGTCTTTCGAAAGGAAGCCGTTGGTCCCGGCTGCATATGCAGTCGTTATCTACCTATCCTCACCCAACTGCATTCATGAAAATAAAGCTTTAGGATTGCACCAAAAAAAAAAGATAGACAGTGTTTTAAACTTTGTTTAGGTGTCTTTTGTATAATGTTTTCGTCTCAAATGCCTGACTACCTTTTTTGTGATAGTAGTAGTTACCAAAGTTTAAAATTATGCAAGAAAGTTCATTATCAAATCATTAATCGTGTAAGATTGACAAGCTTGCTATATGTAAATTTGTAGTTTATTAATTTTTCGTCTACGCTCAACTAACACTGAATCGATTTTCATATATGTAATAGCAAAAGCTACCCATGTTTTATTTTCAACGAATCAACGTTAAGATAAACACAACATTTAATAATGTAGACATTTAATGGAGGCTTGGAAGCTCTTCCAAGGTAACTCAAATAATAGAGATGACGACTAACGACTTTTTTGTCTATCACGTAGATTATCAAAAAGTATACTGAACTCGTATTTGTTTTATTTTCACATAATCAAAAATTTACAGAGGTTTATTTTTTGATTTGTCGCATTATTTTACGTCTTTGTAGAATTTTTACTTAAAAGTAACGTCGCGATCCCGAACCGCTCTCCCAAACTTTGAAGCGCTTTATCTTTGTAATTTTTTGGTTGATTGAAAAAGAAAAAAATATTATCCATTAGTTTTTAATAACTTAACTGAAGGGTTAAATAGATTAAGGTTTACTTAATCCCATCAACTATTATAATAGCAACCTTGCCACAATGTGACGGAAATTATTTTAAAAGTTTGCTTTTTCCGTTGACTAGGTATGTGGAATGGAGTTTTCATGAACCAGAAGAACGTCAGTACTCCTTCGAAAAGGATAGAGACATTGCAGCTTTTGTTCGACTTGCTGCTGCAGAAGGGCTGCATGTTCTGCTGAGACCGGGACCATACATTTGCGCGGAAAGAGATTTGGTAAGAAAATGGTGTGGTTTCATGAAAACTTTATGCAATGCAAATGAAACTTTTTTAATCATCAATTAAAAGTCCTTCCTGGGCTGGGATTCGAACCCAGGCCGCTCGCGTTTGAAGCTAGCCTTCTATTATTTCATTGAAAAGTCTGATTTTTTTAAAAACTAATACTTTTACTAGAAAAAAAAACAACTTGGTCGAGGTTTCAGGCAGGACTGAAACTTGCATTTTTCGAGGCGTGATGTCATATTTCTTCTAGTATTTCTTAGGCGGTAGCATAGTGGTTAGTGTAACCGCCCGGATAGCGGAAGACACCGGTTTCAGACCATCCTGAAACCTTAACCACGATAATATAGATAATATTACTGTGCCTTAACCGAGTTAAAAAAAACGGCGGGTTGCACTCCGGGAGTGCCGGCAGAAGTGAAAATTTTGAATATTAACGTTGTGCATTTTTGATATTTTGGAATGGTTAGGGAATAATTTTGCACGAATTACTTTAATTTTCAGTATAAAAGTACTATTATGTATGTAGTAGAATACAATATTTATTTATTGCGCTATCGATCACAAACATGACAATTTATATTACATTAAAAAGTTTCTCTCAGAAAAATCAACTTACATAAATCACATTTAAGCGCACCCAAAAAAATGCATTTTCTTCGCAATAAAGCTGCCACCTGGATGTCGTAGATAGAAACTTATTATTATAATAAAATAAAATATTAGTATGTTACGTCGAATATATTGAAAATCAACAATATTTCCAATTTTATTTTTTTCCTCTTACGAATTTTCGATTATATGTAACAAAAAAAGTTACATATAATCGAAAAAGTCATCGAAAGTCACCAAAAAGATCATGCAAAAAAAGTGTACAACGCCGCTAAAGAAGTTTTCACTTCAAAAAACTATAGTCAAAAAATCTTTAGGCTTAGGTTTAAGGGAAACTTCTATTACTACGGCACAATTGTTTTTCGTTCATCTTCGACATGGCCATTAAGACATCGGTATCATAATTGGTAAGGGCGTCCGCTCGGATAGCGGAAGATGCGGGTTCGAATCCCGTACTAAAACTTGGACCGAATGGAATATTATCTAGTATTTTTTTCTTAAAAAAGAATAACTTATTTTAAAATTACATTCACAATGATTTCTAGTTTCACCTCATTATATTGTATAATGTTGGTGCCTAAAATGAAAGAGAGAAAGCATTGGCACAGATCCTTTCTTCTAAATTATTTAGGAATTCGAAGTTATGATGATTCGCAATTTTTGGATCTTCAAACACAATATCTCATCATGACAAGACGCTTTGGACTAATCGTGTGAATTTATCATTTTAGATCAGATTAGATCAATGCATAGGTCTCGCTGTATTACATGTTTTTATTGATATAACTTGAAACTGTTCTGCAGATCCAAGTTTGTATTATTATTAAGTCTAAGCTATGTCTATCCGAAGCTTGAAAATAAGGTTGTAGCCAAAGTTTCATATCTGAGATGAATGCAAGATGATAATATGAGACATTTTTTTCAGGGAGGTATCCCATACTGGTTACTGGGGAAATATCCGAATATCAAACTCCGTACCACTGACAAAGGTAACACTATAGTTTTGTTAGAACCTATTGATCCATACTTTTAAACTATTCAATAATATATGCTATGATTCACTATATACATGAACTATTTTATTTTTCAGAATTTATTAAAGAATCTACAATTTGGTTGGCAAAATTATTCGAACAATTAACTCCTTTATTATTTGGCAATGGGGGCCCGATTATTTTGGTCCAGGTAATATAAAAATCTTATTAATAAATCTTAATCTACTATTAACGAAAATCTGTTCTTCTAACTTTTCCATATCCAATTTGAAAAAGCCGAATTATCTTTATTCGTCGTCCAGGTGGAAAATGAATATGGCAGTTACGGAAGAGACATGGAATATATGGAACAGATGCGTGACTTAATTTTGGAGTACGTGGGTACAAATGCTTTACTATACACTACCGATGGACCCGGACCTTCGTACTACACCAATGGGTTTGTGAATGGCGCACTCACCACCATCGATTTCGGGCCTGGATATGGTAAGCATGTTTGAATAAGCAAATGAATAGAAATTTAAAATTAACTGAATGGTGTATGTTTGTACCTTCACATTTTTGCTGTACTTTTAATAATTTTAATTTGACATTTTTCTTGTTTTATATCTCTTTTTGTTTCATACCTATCAAACGTCCCACATCACCCATTTTCATTCATATAATTATAACTAATCCTTCTTTTGGTCTAGTACCCATTGGACCCTCCTAATTGGACCTTACCTACAAAAAAGTGCCCGTTCGACCTCCTATCAAGAACATGGTGCCCATTGGACCCTCAAGGACGTACTTAACGACACAATAGGAGCTATTGGAGCTCTTAACTATTTGGCTAATTCTTTTGGAACGGTAAAGTACAGTCGTGTAGTAAAGTAACATTGTAAAAGACATAAAAACACTAAGGTTATAAATCTAAGTATTCAATCAACATATTTATAAAACATATTCAAAACACTAATCATCAGTAACAAACCAATATAAATATTTACATAAAATATAATAATTAAATCACAGATTTTTTACTTTACTTTTAAAGCCAATAGAAATTATTTTTTATCAAATAGCTTAACTAAATTATAAATATGGTTTGTTATATCACACAGATTAAGCACAATTATTATATATTCTTAATATTGATAAAATGAATAAAAGCACAAAGGTAAGTATTTAAAATCAACATATTTATAAAATTTGAACCATCAATCATCAGCAACAAACCATATAATATAATAATCAAATCATAGATTTTGTTATTTTACTTTTAAATAGAAATGTTTTTTTATCAGATATCTTAACTAAATTATACATACAGTTTTTAAATCACTCAGATTAACAATTGAAGCACAATTATTATGTATTCTAAATATTCATAAAATATATCAATGTAATATTTTCATATTACTTTTTATAAAAAAATGTTTTCTAATCATATTTTTACAATTGACGAGAAATTGCTTATTGCTTATTATAAAAACATACTTTAACTAAAGGATATGGTTCAAAAGCGGTAGTCGGTTTCCGGCAGGAACGAAATATATATAATTTGAAAGTTTGTATAACATGAATAGATACTTTGATTTTTTTATTCATTACCGATTACTTTAAAATAGTGTTTAATAATTAAACAATTCTGTAAGTATGCTGGCCACCCTATCTTAGTAACGTCATATTTTTAGTGCGTGGTGGCTTATAACGTCAACTCAATCACTATGGCAAAAGTCAATCAGTCCAGTCATGGATTATTATCAGAATTATTATCACTGCTTTTGTTACACATTGAACATAATATATTTGATGCTTGGCAACAAAAAATAGACAAATAAACTTGCCATTTGCAAATCAATTATTAGATAGATTTATGTTATTTTAATATAAAAAACCAGGATAAAATAGAATTCTAGTTTTTTGTCAAACGATTCACAATTAAGTGCGCTGCATCTCATAAAAACTTGGAGTCTGCCGAAAGACCGAGGTTGGTAGTGACCAACCTCCATAAAAAATTTAACAGTCTTCTTTTGTAAAATATTATAAATTACCAAACTTAAATATTTAAGACACATATGTGAGTAATTTTTCTAAGCAATGGCCTACGGTTGTAAGATTATTTTCTAGCTGCAACATAGGTCATAAATCTGAACGAGACAGCAATATTTCTCTCTCTCTCCCACGTATGAGATCGGCGCCATCCTTTTGTTTAAGCGCAGAGATTGCTTGGGCTTGGAATCTATAACCTTCCTTTCATCAGGTGCTTAAGAGGAGTATAACTGCCAATAAAAACACTCAATCTCCCTCACAATTTCAGTCTTAGATCAAAAGATGATGTTTTTGCAAAATCCACCGTCATGTTGCTTAGATTGTCTAGATCCAAGCTGTTTTAAGGAACTTTGAATCAATCGAAATTTGTTCGATTTGAAAGGTCTTGTGGATTTGGTGTTGCGCTGTAAGGGTATTTATTGGTCAGTGTACGATCGCCCTATTGAGTGACACATTTTTACATTAATGATCATTAATGTAATTAAATTTAAAATTAATGTAATTAATGATCATTCCTTTCAACCTAAAGCACAAACATATATAATGTCTAGAAAAAATTCCACGCGGACCAGGCAGCAGACGGGACTCGAACCTGCACCCTTCGCAATCCGGGCGAATGCACTGACCAATTATGCTACCGCGGCCCTCACGGACCGCGTCGAAATTCTTCTAGCCATTCTTAAGCTGCAAGGCAGCGCCGAGTGGGTTCGAGTCCCGTCTGCTGCCTGGTCCGCGTGGAATTTTTTCTAGTTATATTTTGTTTAGATTTAAACATCAAGCAGTTACATGCTTTAAAAATAATAAAATATATATAATGTCCTTTAAAGAAAAAAAAGTTTTACAATATTTACGAAAATAAAAAGATATTGAAGTATTATCATTGTCACTTGCGCCCGTATGACCCATAGAATAAAAATACATGTCAGTAGTGCAATATTTGGTTTTGGCTCCTTGTCAATATGAATGAAATGAAAATAAACATTATACAAATTAAATTTTGATGACTTTTGATTCACTTTTTATTTTCTAAATATCTCCATTATATCTTATTGTACGAGTACCTTACTAAAAAATCCAAATGTGTTAAAAATTAGCTTTTCTTAAAGGTTACTATCATCTGTCTGCGTCCAGTATTTATAGAGCAATAGACAAAAAACAGATATTTTTATTTTTCCTGAAAACTTACATTTTTGTAGTTATCTTTACGGCGGGGACGGCGAAATATCGTTAATTCGAAAAAAATGGGAACCTGATTTCTTTATAATTTGTTTAGGACTACTTACTGTTTGGAGTCGGTACTTATACAGTATTTAGTTAGTGGCTTTATAATACCTACTATTAATATTATTTTTGTCTACAATTTTCTACATGACTGTACTGTGCTTAACAAAACTGTTAATAAGGTCCAACTGGCAGTAGGGTATAATCTTGAAGGTCCAATGGGCACTTAAAAAGAGATCCAATGGGTACTTAAAAAGAGGTCCAATGGGCACCAAAAAAGAGGTCCAATGGGCACTTTTTGCTTTTGGGTCGAATCTTGAGGGTCCAATGAGTACTAGACCCTTCTTTTCATCCTTTGAAATAAATTACTTAAACTTTCCGGTATTCATTTTGACAACCAGTGTTGCTAGTCGTGACTCAGAAATGAATTCTGCTTGATACATTGCACGAGAATCCTGTATACGTAACGTCAAATGTGCGTGAAAAAAATGATGGTTTGTTCTGAGCTGTTTTTCTGCTTCATATTTACAGCTATAATAATTATAAGGTTCCCATTGTGACACTCGTTCAACTAAACCAGTAACCTGAGAATATTTTATATGTAAAGTCGTTGACTTTCGACCTTTCGACCCAGCATTGACACGCGTTTGTTCGCATCAGTTGGAAAATGAATTCTTCTTATTCCCGACATTTTTACTCCCAATATAACTCATATCCTGAATACTTTGATTTTGGCCGGTGTTTGTTCTGCATCCTAGAAAGATGCAAAGTTTTATTTTATCCCTAACATAACTAAAACTGCCTCTTTACAAAATATTCTATTTTTGTTGTATGCATTTAACTGTTGGATATTTTAATCTAAAGAAATTTTGTTAAAAAAACCAAGTGTCCAGGCAGCGGACGGGACTCAAAGCCACACCCTCCGCTATCTGGGGCGATGCACTAATCTATTATTATGCTGCCGCGACCTTAATGTCCATGTCGAATTTCTTCTTGTATTTCTTAGGCTGCGGGGCAGCGTTATCTCTTCACATTTTAGGTAACCCACAATATCAAACGAAATATAAATATAATACCTTTACAATTTCGTATTTTGAGGGTTTTCATACCTTTAAAAGAAAAAACGTAAAACTTAGCAAAATTAAACTTCTAAGTTAACAATACAAACAAAAAGATATGGCCGGTTATGTTGCCTATCTACAAATTTGTACGAAATTCTCGGTGGTCGAAAGTGTCCGGTTTTTTTTAATCAAATTAAAATTGTTAGATGTGATGCCGATATACTACACGCTGCATAGATTCATGCCATCCGGTCCTCTTTAAACTTGGCAAATATATGTAGATTAGATGTCAATACAATATTATAGCACCACCGAGCTGATCTGATGATGGGACTAGAAGGTGTCTGATGGAACCTTGGACTGCCTATTAGTAAACATATCGAGTTTGGGCTCATTAGATTCGTCTTAACATATTCTGTTCATTTTTCCTGATGACGAGGACCTGATGATGGACTGGAAGGTGGTTAATGGACCCTGGACTGCCTACTAGTAAAAGAATCGAGTTTGGGCTCATGAGATTCATCTTATTATATTTTGTTTATTTCCCTTAACGTAAAATAAGTATAAGTAATAAAAAAGTATTGCAATAGTGAAGGCTTATCGGAAATGGAGAGGATACGTATTCAGTCGCAATAAACTCGTTCTTTTTTGTAATAAACTAAAAAGAGAAAATAAAATTAATAGTTTAAAAATGTAAAAACACACTTTTACTTACTTCACTAAAAACTTTGACTAGCGGCCCGCCCTCTCTTCGCTTCGGTGTAGAGCTGAAGTGTAGACTACAGTTTTTATTCTCAGGCTTGTATTATACACAATGACATTCATCTATGATTCTTCTTAAAGCGCTTTAAGGCTATTTAAGGAAATAGCAAAAAGGTTAGTTGACATCACAGGAGACCGAAGAGCTGGCAGCTACCTCGGACAAAGAATTAGTCTAGCCATTCAAAGGGGTAACGCTGCCAGTATCTTCGGATCCTTGCCTAAAGGAACTCTTTTTAATAATATATTTTAGTTATTAATTTTATTTTTAAGGTTTTTAGTTTTAGTTTTATTGTTCTACTATTTATATATATAGTAATTATGTAATTAGATTATGTTTTTTTTTATGTTTCTAGAAATAAATGTATAGTTATTTGGTTTTGTAAGAAATAAAGTGCGTCATTCTTCTTATACCTGCATGCAAAGTCTCAGCCCAATCGGTTTAAATTGACAAAGTTTCATACAAACTTCCATTCCCTATTTTATCCCCTTGGAGGTAGAATTGATCAAAATCCTTTCTTAGCGGAAGCTTGCGTCATAATATCTACCTGCATGCCAAATTTCAGCCCGATCCGTCCAGTGGTTTGGGCTGTGCGTTGATAGATCACTATGTCAGTCGGTCACCTTTAAGTTTTATATATCGTCGTTGCGACTTCAAGACCTCCTATGTGTCATTTTTGTCGAAATACCTTTTTTATACGGGTTTATTTCAAATTTTGGCGCTACATCGAAATCAAAAACTCTCGTGTGAATAAGTCTTTTCAATTTCTATTTATTTACTTTACTCAATATATCCTAAGTGCTTGCTCAAGTAAAGTTGGCATTTAAAATATCTTATGTGTAAAAGCGCTAGATAGGTAAAAATTGTTATTGGTCACATTTTCAAAATAACTAACCAATAGAAGCACTAGAATGAGAGGGATGCATAGATCGCGTGATTATTTTCCGATTGTAGGTGTTACATGGGGGTAGTAATATAAAAATTACGTTAGCTTCGACGGGTTCTCGCTCTGTGGTTATAACAGTCGATGTGCAAAGTGTATTGCTTGCTCCAAAGCTATTGGCAAGTGCCCTGTTCTATAAATTGAAGTTACAATGTCATAATTTCACTGTTTATGATGTTTTATTTTAAAATGTATCAATTTACTGCTGGCACGAAGCAGACGGTAATGTAACTGCGAATGAATTTACATCTTTACACCAGGGTCGATAATTTTTGAGACCAAAAAGAATTATAGTAGGATGAAACCCATTAGAAAAGGTAGAGAATATAACAAAAATGAAAGGAAAAATAAATTACGGGCGATCTGAGGTCGGGAAGGGGGAGGGGGTGAGTTTTTAAGGGTAAAAAATGGTTAATCTCGATTTCCGGTAAAACTGCAAGTCCTATGAAAAAAAGTTAAATGGCAAAGTTGTAGGTAATAAAAAGATCTACAACTTTTGTATCGACACTTTTCTCACATAACCTCAAAATTTATGTGAAAAATGCGAATAACCGAGTTTTTGGTTTTTGATTTTTATTTTATGCAAAAAAAATATTTTTTCACGAAATTTGGTGAAAACTTACCTTTGTATGTCACAAACATACAGTAATTTTTCTGATTTAAAATATTCATTTTTTCACCTTATTTTGACTTAATATCGAAAAAGCACCCTTATTTTCAATCGAAAATTCTCACGTCAAAATATCTGCTTTTTTAAAAAAGTTGGGGTGTTTTTTGTTTGTTGAAATCTCTACTCTGATGGTATAAAAAATATACACTTCTATGGTAAATGTCTCAGAAACTGCAAATTAATAATGAAAAAAACTCCAATCCGAAAAATTGATTTGAATCATTATGTATAATTTTGAACTATTTATTAAAATTTACACTTAAATTACTCGAAAAACGTAAGATTGCATGTTATATTGATAAACATAAAAATTACAAATCCATAAAACATGCAAAAATAGTTGTTGTAAGTAGGTATTAAAAATAGGATTTTCGGATTCGAGTTTTTTTCATTATTAATTTGCATTTTCTGAGAACATTTATCATAGTAGTGTATATTTTTTATACCATCAGAAAGTAGAGATTTCAACAAACAAAAAACACCGCAACTTTTTTAAAAAAGCAGATATTTTGACGTGAGAATTTTCGATTGAAAATTAGGGTGCTTTTTGGAGATTAAGTCAAAATAAGGTGAAAAAATGAATATTTTAAATCAGAAAAATTACTGTATGTTTGGGACATACAAAGGTAAGTTTTCACCAAATTTCGTGAAAAAATAAATTATTTTGCAAAAAATAAAAATCAAAAACCGAAAACTCGGTTATTCGCATTTTTCACATAAATTTTGAGGTTATGTGAAAAAAGTGTCGATACAAAAGTTGTAGATCTTTTTTTTACTACTACTACTTTAACTTTTTTTCATAGGACTTGCAGTTTTACCGGAAATCGAGATTAACCATTTTTTACCCTTAAAAACTCACCCCCTCCCCCTTCCCGACCTCATATCGCCCGTAATTTATTTTTCCTTTCATTTTTGTTATATTCTCTACCTTTTCTAATGGGTTTCATCCAACAAATATTTTTTTTCACTTTTCACCATTTTTAAAATTATCGACCCTGGTCTACTTGCTTAATAGACCATTGGCAAAATTTGCCAACTACGATTGAGTGTATTATTATTTTTATGTTTGTAGAACAGAAACCGAATTTCGTCGACTGCTCTAAGTGTTTTGGCACAACGAAGGCAATTGAATATCGAACAACTCTATTTAGAGAAAGGGCATCAATGATCTGCTCCTTACTCCCGGTATCTTTGGGTATGCAGACGACAGCACAGTCTCGGAGAGATACCTGCCTGATGTGAAGTCTGATGCAGACGTCCGATCTTTAAGGGAGGCGATGGTGGAGGTAGTGATGCAACCCTGGAAGCTGTTTCCCTCTGGGGTGAAGCCAACTTGGTTGGATTCAATCCCTCTAAAACACAGGCCTGTCTCTTCTCGGCGAAACGAAGTCCATTCCATCTGACTCCGACTTTCCGAAACATCTCCGTGCCGGTTACAGACCATCTCGAGCTCTTAGGTCTCGACATCTCATTCAGTCTCAATTTCGGTCGCTACATCGAATCCATTGCTAAAACCGCTGCCAATAAACTTGGAATACTTTCTAATGTCAGGCGGTATTTTACATCTGAGCAGCTCCTTAACCTTTACCGAGACCAAGTTCGCTCCTGCTTGGAGTACTGTTGTCACCTTTGGAATAGATCTGCTCGGTATCAGCTGGATGCACTGGACTCGGTGGAACACCGTGCGAAGAGACTCATAGGCGATGACGCTTTCGTTGAGGCTAATCTCCAGAGCCTTGACCACCGAAAACGTGTAGCTTGCCTCTCGGTTTTTTTATCGGTTACATTTCGGAGAGTGTGCGAAGGTATTACACAATTTGATTCTCCCTTCCCCTTTCCACCACCGGACGACCAGGCGCGGCGAGGGCTTTCGCTCTTATGTTGTCCAAGTTCCTCCCATTCGCACGAAGCGATTTACTTCAGCTTTCATTATGCGAACGGCTAGGGAGTGAAACTCCTTACCGAGGTCTGTTTTCCCGGACCAATATAATCTGGACATCTTCAAGGCCAGAGGGAACAGGCATCTTCTAGGCAGGCGTGTACCATCCTAAGCCTCATCATCGCTTTCCATCAGGCGAGATTTTGGTCACGCCTTGCCTATTAAACATAAAAAAAGGGCACACCATGATGGAGGTGGAGAGTATTCACTCCACTATTGAGCAATACATAAAACCACTATTATATACTATTGTCATTGCAATGATAAATTTAAAAAACAAATAACTTGTATAATTGAAAGTCATGTGTTTGAATCTCAATCCCTTTTACATACTTATATTCTCTAATGTGATACATAACGCGCAACCAAAACCTCTTATGTGTCACATTGAATTGTTTTTTATTTTTTTTACTACAATTTCGTTTATTATTTAAAATGACAAGAGCAAAATAAAAATCATAAAACCCTCTAGTTATCACTTGTATTTTTTGTTATATTTAGTTTATTTATATTTTTTTCAGTAGACAGTTTTTATTGAATATCTCGCATTGAAGAATTTTACACATGGGATGTCTTAAAGTCGCAACGACGATATATAGATTTTAAGATATACATTGTGTTAGTTATATACACAATCGCAGACCAAACGCATGTATACGCATTGCGCCATTGAGCTCCTCATTTCCTAAATTCTATAATTCTTAGCACCGTCATTATTTTTAATATACATCATGAGATCTGCCGACAAACTGTTACACAGTTTGGCAGATGTATACCTAAACATAGTGTTAACATGTGTAATATTGTGGAAAATAAATATAAAAAAAAAAAGATCTGAACAATGTGCTCATTACCGATAATTACCTCAATAAATTAAAATTGACAGATGTGGTGCAAGCTTACGACACGCTGCGTAGATTCATGCCATCTGGTCCTCTTATGAACTCCGAGTTCTACCCGGGCTGGTTGACGCACTGGGGCGAGAGTTTTCAGCAGGCCAGCACCGAGGCTGTCGTTGGCACCTTACGCACCATGCTGGACAACAAAATAAACGTTAACGTGTACGTGTTCTTCGGAGGAACTAACTTTGAGTTCACATCGGGTAAGGACTTTTCATTTTATGTTGCATGAATGGAAAAAATGACTGGTACGATATTTTTATGTAAGGAAGGTGGAATACATGTATATGATCCGGCTAATTGTAAGTGGCCGTCATAGCCAAGCCGATTGACAATGGTGATTCCATAGCATCATTCGCACCGTTGTCTCACCCTTGAAACTCCACTAGAGTATGGCGTAACTCAAAATAATGTTCTAAGCTTGTATGTATATTTTAGTAGGACCTGCCGTGGTATTGTGAACATGCATAGAGAAAACCACTACTATTTTAGTATTGTACAAAGCAGCCCTGTGACGAGTACAACTTTTTTCTTCGTCTATCAGGTAGATTATCAAAAAGTATTGGATACGTATTTTTTATTTTTTCACATAATCAAAACAGTATAGAGATATATTGAGTTAAGATGTCGCATGACGTCACGTCGCTACCCACCCAAATTTTGACGCGCTTTATGTTTGTGATATTTTGGTTGATTGATAAAAGAAAAAAAATAATGTCCATTACTTTACGGACTAAATAGAATTTCATTTTACTTGACCCCGTCATTATTCCTATTTACTATGAAAGTCAATTCGACGACGAACGCAGTCATTTTTCTATGTATTTTAGTATTTAGTAATACGAGAATATATACGTGACCGTGTAACGAGTTTAAATAACAGTTGGTGGCACAATAATTATCATTTACCTACTTCATAAAATGTTCACAAACAGATTTTCTATTTAGTCCAGGAAATGAAACATTTCATGGCTAGTAATTTTTTCGTCCTAAATGGATTTAATTGAAATTTTCACATAAGATAGAAAATCAAAATCTATATCATGCCGAGGTGGAGCGTTTATCCGGGGGGTAGTTGCCATCCCATCTCGGGGGTGGAATTTTTTAATTAATTTTTTACTACAGAAATCGATTAAAAAGGAAATTCTAAGTAAAAAATTTACATATATCAATATACATATATTATCGTAAAACTGACATTTTTCGAGTTATTCGCTATTGAAAGTGACAGATTTTAGACGAAAAAAATCAACTTTTTAATGGGTTTTCACGAATAACTCGAAAAATATCAAGCTTTTGTTCGTCAAATACTAAATTTGAAAGATTCAAAGTCAAATAGCGGGAATACTGTGTATTGACGAGGAAACTTATTTTTTTTTAAGTTTTCTTCTATATCTTTCTTTTAAAAACGTTTTTCAGTCTTTAGCATAAAAAAATACGAGTTATGATTAAAATACGGGCGGTGCCTACTTTTGCTATGAAACAAAAACAATGAAAACAACCACGACAATGTTAGGGAGCGAAAATAAAGCACACTTTCTGGTCAACGTTTATCTGGTACTGTCAATTTATATTTTTATAAAAGGGTGACGTTGAAGGTTGTTTCAACTTCGAACTAGAATTAAGATACAATATTGGCCGAAAGAGGATGCCGGTGTTGGTTGCCAACATGGTCCCCGACCGTGAGAAGCACTTAAATCTATTAGACGGCAACCAACAAAGCTACCTTGCGAGTAGATCGACGCAGTACACCCCCTTTCGTAGCGATATCGACAACGCGTACTACGTCATTCTTGCCGGGGTAGGTTGATACCATATGTCCAGGGGGCCAGCAGTTTCAAAGAAGGGATCCGTCAGCAATGAACACCAAATCTCCAACTTGAAAGTGTCCGTTTGTGCAACGGGTTTCCGTGGAACGAGTGTGGGCAGAAACAACTTTAGTGAATCGCTGCCACAAATGATCGGCGAGTCACTGTGCCTTCCTTCTGTGGCGATCAGAGTCGTCAAAGGTGCATATCTTTAGGTCGTGACTGGAGCTGCCAATGACGAAGGGTGTGATCGCGTGATCACTATCTATGTCAACACTGACGTATGTGAGTGGCCTTGAGTTGACTATAGATTTGGCTTCCAGGAGAAGGGTGTCGAGAATTTCTTCTTTTGGGGTGCACTCCTCCCCTAATTATCCTTCTAATTAATCAATGACCAATTTAAAATGCTGAATTTTAGAAAAAAACGAGCTTTAAGTGAAAAACGATGTTCCACAATTTCTTAAACACATAACTTTTCTTCAAAATAGCTCTAAAATGCTGGAGTTAGGAAAAAAATTATGAAGTACTGATTTATAACTTTTTTTATAACAAAAATTTTGCTTTGTGTGGATTTGCTATAAATTAAATATTTGGCGAGATATGGCCATTTAAAGCCTCTTATACGAGCAAGCACCTTCTTATTCGAGAATTTTTAAACTCACCCCATATCAAAATCAAGGGTTTTAAAGAGATTCAATTTACATAGCCTTGTAGCTATTGAAAAATCATACAAAATAATTATAAGTATTTAATTGCTAGATATTTAAATCTAAAGTATTTCTTTTTTCTAGTAAAATTTTCTTTACATACAAAATGATGTTTGAAAAAACTTTCTATCATTAAAAATGGAGCAGCTATATTTAAAAGCCCAATCAATTCTTTCGATAAATTCGAATATCTCGCTTCGGACCATAATTTAATTTACTGAACCGGTATACTTCGCTGTCCCGTTTGAAACTTTTCCCATTCATTACAAGATACAGAGGGAATCCTCGGCTCAAGTGTTTACGCATGTCTAGAGTTATTTTCAAATCTAACAGTTGCTTGGAAACGAATGAATTCAACCAACAGTTTGGGGGTGGTTCTTAAAGGCAGGTTTAGTTTATAGTGTAGGAAAATTTAAAAACACCTAATGAAATTGGTAATATATCAGGCAGTTACATTTTTTATTAATGACTGAATCATTATTCAGCTAATCCAAAGCAAATTTTACCCATCTTAAGGTTTAAAATGTTATTATATAAGTTTTGACAATTAGGTTTAATGTTCACCCTTAAAAAACGACCAGCAACCATCAGCATGATAAAGTTTTGTGATACCGATGTAGGACGAAAATATGCAAGGTTTTGCCATATTTGTTTCTTCATTTCCTGGACTTATTGACAATGCAGATACATGTCTTCTTACTCACATTGCAGACGTCTAATAGATATTTTTTTTTATTTATTTATTTATTAATGAAGGTAATTAGTATATATCTGCATCAGCGCTTTTAATTTGAATTGTATGGTAATGGTAAAGGCTATGGCCTTTTGCAGGTGCAAATTATGGCACGGCGTACCAACCTGACATTACTTCGTATGATTACGACGCGCCGCTCAACGAAGCTGGGGATCCAACACCTAAATACTACGCCATAAGGAACCTTCTCAAACAGGTATATATTATATTTAGGAATCAGAAGTGGAAATGTTTAAAGAAACAATTATTTATAAAAAAAACGATCATTGTATCATTTTTACATATTAGAAGAAACGTTTGAAAGAAACCATTACAATTAAGGATGCAACGATACCAATGGATGAATCTTGAGAGGCTCAATTTTCGCTGTCCGGAGGAAAAAACTAGGCACCTACCCATAATATTAAAAAAAGGATCCAAATATGTTTTTATGCTACTATGATGTATGCTGTAACTGGCGTGTCTTGATGATGATTGTGTCTTATTTAGGCAGAAATAGTAAAAAAAAATCCTAAAGGGCTAATTTGACATCCTGTGGCGCGTCCGCTTCAGATTTTATGGACAAACTACCAGCAAAACACCAACTTATTAGCGACAATTAATTACAAAATGCGGTTTAAGCTATTAGTTGCTGAATACTTTTATTTAGAATTAAAATATAGAGTCTGTCGGGGCTAAACGATGATTCTACTGGCGCCCCTATCACCCAAAGTATTTATCAGATCTTTACCAAATCAATATCACCTCACTCACAGACTCTTTCAAACAAAAAAATAACAAACCTCGTAGATATGCGAACAACAATAAAAAATATACATAATGACAAATTCAGGACCTCTTTCTTTTGGAAGTCGGCTAAAAATTTACACAGGCCTTATATCGATGGAAGTATAAGATTGGGCCATGACACACCACATGGACCCAATGCATATCTGCGAAAGGACCAATGGATTAACGTACTTTCTAAAGCATGGAGGAGCTTGATATAATACATCATACAACATTGCGAAAGTTGCTTAACTTATATGAACGCAGACCGAAAAGCGCTAACCACTTGCACCATCGAGCTACAATCATCTTTAATGCTGATATATCATAATTATTACGAATTATATTTCAGTATAATTTCGTGGAGGACAACAGACCGGAGCCATCTCCATCACCTAAGGGCGCTTACGGCACCATCACTCTAAGGCCTAAAGTTCAATTGCTTTCGAATGAAAGTCGCAATGTTCTTGGCATAGAATACTCGCCCATAGCTGGAGCAATATTGCCGACCTTCGAGGAACTCCGACAGAGAAGTGGTATGATCTTATATGAGACCACATTGGGATCAGCAGACGGCCAGCTAAGCATAAAAAAACCAAGGGATTGGATTTACGTTTACGTTGATGGAGTAAGTTTGTACCTACATATATAAATTATTGTAATATGGAATTTCACAAATATATTTTGGTGACACGTCCACTCATGTTTGGATCTTAGAATGTTCCTTTTATGTACCTATATTTGATGATACAACTGCAGGAATTGATCCTTTTAGGCTCCGTGGGTGATCCAAAAGTATAAAGTATTTTTTTAGTTATATTATTTACTAGCGGCCCGCCCTGGCTTCGCTACGGTGTAGAGCTGAAGTGTAGACTACAGTTTTTGTTCTCAGGCTTGTATTAAACACAACGACATTCATCTATGATTCTTCCTATACCTGCATGCAAAGTGTCAGCCCGATCGGTTTAAAAGTGACAAAGTTTCATACAAATTTTCATTCCCTATTTTATCCCCTTGGGGGTAGAATTGATCAAAATCCTTTCTTAGCGGATGCCTACGTCATAACACCTACCTGCATGCCAAATTTCAGCCCGATCCGTCCAGTGGTTTGGGCTGTGCGTTGATAGATCACTATGTCAGTCAGTCACCTTTGAGTTTTATATATATAGATATTTAAAGCATTATGTCAGTACATTCGCCCAGATAGCAAAGGGTGCGGGTTCGAGTCTTATCTGCTGCCTGATCCGCGTAGATTTTTTTCTAGTGAAATTTTCTTTAGATTTAAGTATTTTTATACAACTACATACGAGTATTTATGGATAAAGATAATAATTTAATTATGATAATAAAGAAAAAAAGTATTTATGTATTTTAATTACTATTACGCATTTATTCGTTTTCAGAAACTGCAAGGAGTAATTAATAGAATGTTTAAAAGATATACACTGGTACTCAGGAGTAGTGTTGACTCGGTGCTGTCATTGCTAGTGGAGAACCAAGGGCGAATCAATTTCGGACCGTACTTGCACGACCGTAAGGTGAGCCCCTTATTAACTCTTTAATTGTCTCATTTGCATCAGCAAGATTACATTCGACAATATTTTCCTAAAGACCAATGACTTATGATTGAATCATGTGCGAATACTCAATGCATTCGCCCGGATAGAGGGGTGCTGGTGTAATTTCAGCTTGGTCACTGAATTTTTTTTTAGTAAACCTTCATCGTTAATTCATCATCAGCTTAAATGTCCCCATTGCTGGGCCACAGACCTTCCCTATGGATGGAACAGGAAAAGTGGGTCATGACCCACCCCGCGGGTTGGTGGGTGCCAACGACTGCAGATGCACTAACGTGCCTTCCGGAGCACGGAGGAGCGAGCTTTACTATCTTGATAATAAATTTTTGGTCACCGTTCCGCTAACCACACGCTCCATCGAGCTTCTCTTCTGTACATAAAGGATATTGCTCAGCTTCCATACATGTTTGGCCTAAAGACCAATAATCATGAAAAATTGTTTCCTAGATTCGAAATTATATTCATTATAAATTACTGTAGAAACGAATATTATTGACGGACACCCCTGAGAACTTCTATAAACCATATACACTGAACATATTAAAATAATAAAAAACAAATAAGTTATATAGTAAACTAGGGAAATCAAGCCAAGTACCGAAATTATGGATTAGATTCAGGTATATAGAGCATGTACATTAACAGATAGTTGCCTGTTTTTAAAGTTAATGCATAAGAGTAACTTTTAAAATCAGGTGTCATTTCCGGTTATAGTAAAGTACTCTGTGACAGAAACTGTGTGATGATCATGAAGGTGCTTCATGGTGATGATTGTGAATGAGCCACAGATTAGAGAGAATTTTTAAACTCTCGTTAACCAAAGAAAGCTAAGAGATTTAAGTTCTATAGTTATTTTATATAATCAGTAGCTTCATTATTTTTGTTATGTTTTAAGATAACCATATTTTAGATTTTTAGTGTATCACATGTATCACACCTTATAATTTTATTTATTTATTAATTTATAGTCAGGGAACGTAGGCTCATAGATAGGTCAAACATACAATATAGATTATAATGTGTTTATTGAGCTGTTTGGCGAAAAATGTATGGCAATAGACTTTATGATGTCGCCTACCATCTTTAATAATTGTCTGAGCACATTTGCATCTAGTGAAAATGTTAATATATTGGTGGATATTAATACCACATTGTAATAAAAAAAATGATTTATTTTATCGTCTTTACAAAATAGATTTGTTTTTATGTTATATAAACAACTTCAATCAGTCTTTGGCTAATGTTACTACACCCATAGCCATTAAAAATGATTCGTATGTTTTCCAAACCGGTAAAATTAAAAGTTCCTTTTAAAGTAAATATATTATACAAAGGTGTCCGTTGAAATCTAATGACTGTAAATTAAATTATAAATTACGCCAAGAATTACCGTGTATGTCAATATTTTTTGTGCATTTAGGCCAATTTGAGGAATCTCCTTTCATTATTAATTATTTTTTTTCTAGTAAACATCAACTTAGTTTAATGTATACTCTAAAGTTTTCTCATTTTCACGCCAAATAGCTGTCTGTGATCCCAGATTCCAGAACTAAAAGATTGCGTGGCACCAAAGCACTTGATATTCAAGCCAAAAGGGAATATCTACTCGTGTCAGTACACTACAACGCATCGTGTAGTGAATACGTCCCGTGAATATTAAGTTTTTATCAAAACTGTGTCGCCTTGTTCAAACATTCTAAAAACTATTCACAAAGACAAAACAGTATTTGCTTTGGTGGCCGCACTTCCGTGTTCCGAGCGTTCCATCTGCGTTGTTCCTTTTTTTTCTTTGTTCTGTAATCTGTGGCTGTGATAGCATTATACAAAGCAGGTATGGAGTTAAATGCAATTTTCGTAACTCTCCATTCGCTTGGTAGTTTTCATGTTTTTATCGCCGCAGGCGCTACACTAATAAATCCTGTCCGAAAAGCAAAATAAATTATCTCGACAATTTAAATAAAAACATGTCGATCGTTTTAAAAGATGACTCAGGATTAGGACTCCCAGGATACTGACGCCGTTACTCGAGAACGACTTTAGAGATTCCATCCACCTTTATTTTTTTTAAGATCTGAGTAAATCAAGAAAGTTTTAAGAAACTCAAGTCACCGCGGACCAAATAGCGGGCGGGGCTTCTGTAATATGTGTAGTAGGTAGTAGGCGCCTATTTTACTAAAAATAAAAAAAATTAACAGGGTATCCTTAGCGCCGTGGAGTATAATGGCGTACCTCTACGAGGCAACTGGTCTATTACGGGATTCCCCTTGGAATGTGTCAGTAAGATGCAAGTGCCCAAGCTTATTGATCCTAAGTTGTCAGAGGGGCCTGTCGTGTATGAAAGTAAACTAGTTCTTCCTCAAGGGCAAATGTCTCTGGACACTTTTCTCGACACTACAGGTTGGGGAAGAGTAAGTAAAAAGATTTATTATTTTTACCTACATAAAAATATTATATCCATTTAACAATCATATTTAACCATTATAGTAGAGTATAATAGTATGATATCATCATCATCTTCAGCCTATTAATGTCCCCACTGCTGGGGCACAGGCCTTCCCTATGGATGGAATAGGGAGATAGGGTCATGACCCACCACGCGGGCCCAATGCGGATTGGCGGGTGCTAACGACTGCAGATGCAGCCGGGACCAACGGCTTATCGTGTCTTCCGAAACACGGAGGAACTCGAGATACAAGATTTTTGGTCACACATCCAATGACCGACCACTGCGAAAGTTGCATAAATTCAAATTCGTTCGCAGCCGAACGCGCTAACCACTTGCGCCATCGAGCTCCTCATAGTATGATATACAAAAACATAAAATTAACTGTATTATTATTTTTTTGAAAAGGATAGTGAGGAAAACAATTTTTTTAAGTAATTAAAAATCTCTGACATGTCGTCAGATTTTTATTTTTCAATTCATTTGAATATTCAAATTCATTTTATTTTATATTTAATGAGATATTAAATTGGTCAATTTAAAAACGTTTCCTCCTTTTAACACTCAAATCTCTCATTTTATCTCATTTTGTTTTAATAAAAATCTATTTAAATGCCATTATTAAAAGAATATACGCTTTCAAATTCCCAGTTATTGGACAAAGTCATAGACAGGTATTTAATTTATAAACCACTTGCACTAACCACCGTTGCATAATAAAACCTCATTTTGACTCAAACATAAACTGTTGACAAAGTTACGATGATATTCATAAATGAACTTATGTAGTAAGCTACGCTACCTTAGCTGCCTTAAAATGCATGATTCTCTAAAATCAAAACTAAATTTGACAGCAGTCTCTCCGCCTCCCCCTCGTAGTTGCGGCATTATTGGTCGATAGTATCGGATGCGTTATTGTGATATTTGTTTTAGTACATTACGTATGAGAACGGTTACGAAGTTACACAATGCACTGCGAAAAATAACGGGTCCAATCGTTACGCATCCAAAATAAAGACGCAATCTATTGCAAACTTAGTTTACAACTTAGTTTGACGAATTATCGCAATAACGCATCCAACGTTATCGACCGATAATAACGCGTCTATGGGCGCGAGGCTAATAACAAGATGATGAAAGGAATGTCAGTTAAGTATTATGGAGGTTTGTTAAAGACTCCGATGCCAGCGACGAGACGGTTTGGGGTACAAGCCCTAGTACAAACCATGCTTATGACCCAACTTAGCAGCCCAGCCCGGGTAGAAATCGTTTACTCGACTCAACAATGCTTAAAAATAACGTAGATCAACTTCATGCAGATAAAAACAAAGCGAGCAGCGCCCGTATTAGCGTAAAACAAAAAAAGACCTTCCTGCTTACCTATTTTTTTTATTATACGAACTTCATCAAAATGTCAGTAGAATTAACAGTAACTTGTTGTCCAGGGTTACGTGTGGGTGAACGGATACAACCTGGGCCGCTACTGGCCAGGTTTGGGGCCACAGGTGACCCTGTATGTTCCTGGCGTGTGGTTGAAGGCTGCGCCCAAGAGTAACCTCATACAAGTGCTGGAGTTAGAGAGATCACCTGACTCTCTCACAATGGAATTTTTGGACTACCCGATACTTAACAGAACGCACACATATCCAGGATAACAACCAACAAGACATATTTCTTATAAAAGTTGTTGAAACGGAACTGAATATTGATACGAACGAGGATATTTGTTTTAGTTTTATTTAGATAAGAAATCTGCGGTCTTATGAAGAGACTTAGGCCCGTATTATAGAAAGATTCTCAGTAATTAATCTAGTCTTGAGCATAGATAGAAGGGATGTCGCTATATAGAGCACATAGCGACATCCCTTTCTAACTGTACTCAAGTAAAGATCAACACTTAGTTGTCATTCTGTAATACGGGCCTAAATAGAATTTTAAAAGAGTGGTTTGTTAAAGCTTGATAATTTCATCGACTTGTATTTTTTTTAAGAAATCCCTCTTCTTCATCGGTCTTGTAAAAGGAGGTCGCGATAGTTTATCAGGGTTTCATAAAAATCTCTAGTTTGCATAGTACAAGCTGTGCTTAGGTCTTTTTGTTTCATATAGACTATAGTTAAAATACTAGAGAACAAAAACATTTCTCAAAATTTTACACATTTACTATGCATTCGATGTAACAACTTTAGACAAATTTAATTATCGATGAAGCAACACGGCCACTTGGAAATTTTTTCTCTAGTATTTTAACTATAGTCAAATTTAACTATGGATGAAACAACGTGGCCCTAGTTTGGGACTAAATAAAATTGTTGTGGGTTGTCCAAAATTGAAGAAATAGTTGCTTAATGAAATAAGTTGTTACTGTAAAAATCAGTTAGTATATGCATCTACCATAACAACTGTCCGTGTTTGTCTTAATCCCAGTCATTGTAAAGATTTCAAAAGTTAAGATTTTAATTTGAGATATTATTCATTATAAATAGTTATTTATGACTTTTTTGTGTTATGATTTTTTTTATAAATAACAGTGTATCAGGTTATACTGTCGTTACATTTTCAAGTGAATTGAAGTGTGTGCGAAGTGACAAAAATATTAAATATTATAATGGAAAGCAATCTCTTTTAATCATCCATTTCAGAAGATCCATTGACCAGACCTATTGTGGGTCTAGGAGTATTTTTTTTATCATCATCATCATCAGCCTATTAATGTCCCCACTGCTGGGGCACAGGCCTTTCCCATGGACGGAATAGGGAGATTGGACCATGACCCACCACGGGGGCCCAGTGCAGATTATCGGGTGCTAACGACTGCAGATGCTGCTGCCGTTATGAGATGGTCTAAAAACAGATTTTCTGAGAAAAGATTCCACTTCCATTTTTCAAAAGGATGAAATTTTCATAATGATTTTAAATATTGTTCGCAGGATTTTGTAGGTAAAAGTCTTTGTATCACATTTTTAGCAAACTTTCTTACTTACCACTCAAAGAAGAATACTTTTTCATAAAATATTCGAGATTGGAAACTTTACTAACAATATCCACATTCCTATTTCAAATTTCTTTTTTATTCTTATTCTTAATTTCTTTACATATGCCTATTTCAATTTTTTGAAAGCCTAAGTAAACACTAAGCACCTTTTAGATAAAAAAAATCGGAGAACGTTTACAAACCTTTATGTTAAAGTTAAATTTAAGGATACAGAACATTTTGCTAGAAACTGATCTCATATCATATTATCACTTTTTCTTGATACTAAATATTAAAACATTGGAACAGATTCGTTTTATTAGACTTAATTATTACATGTCTTGGTTTATATAGTTGTTAGTTTATAGTTCTCTACTGAGACCCAAAATTATGTAAAATTGTCTTTGGGTGGGGCCGCTGGCAGCTGTGTCACAGTTTTTACTATTACAGCTGTCAACGATTTCCTCTTATTATTAGAAAATCAATGAATGCATCCAGTGATTGTTTCGAGGGAACACTTGTAATTTGGAGTGAAAATAAATAACTTTATTATTAATTTTATTAACTGCTTAATGTTTAATACTGGTAAAGGTATTCATTTGACATTGCGGGTTACCGATAAGTCGCGGCACGAAACTCTAGCGCTGACCATTATTGCGCAGAAGTAAAAATTAAGATGTCTTCGGGGGAAACGAGGTGCGCGAATGGGCATGCGTTGCGCCTATGGGCTCTTTAGACGTACCCATGCACAGCACAACCTGTACAATGCGAAGAGATATGGCGCTGCATTGCAGCCTAAGAAAGTTTAAAGAAAATTCAACACGGCCATCAGGGCCGCGGTAGCATAATGGTTAGTGCATTCGCCCGGACTGCGAAGGATGCGAGTTCGTGTCCCGTCTGATGACTGGGCCGCGTGGAATTTTTTCTAACTAAATTTTGTTTATAAATACAGATATCATCATAATTACTCAATAAACTTAATACTTGTTATATTTTTATTTTAATCATTTAATTGCTATATGTTTAAATCTAATAAAAAATTTGTTAGAGTAAATTAATCCTCCTCCGTATTGGCGGAGACGTGTGATGCGGAGTGGTGTCCGGCATCCGGCCACGGAACCGTCGGAACACAACATCTTTCGGGTAAACCTCTCCATATCCATAAAGTTCGCTGAGAGTTGGTACTCTCACCACGAATCCTACTAATATTATAAATATGAAACTTTGGATGTATGTTACTCAATCACGCAAAAACTACTGAACTACTACTTAATGAATTTTGGATATGCAGACGCATATACTTTATGATCTGGATTGAGACAGGATACCTATCCTGATTTTAATCCCGGAAAAGTGTTAAGTTCCTGAGGAATTACAAAAAACTAAAGTTAACGCGGACGAATTCGCTTGTGAACTATAATTCACATTAATAAATAAATACATAAATATTTCCAATTGGTGTGAGACCAATTAGCCTAGCCCCAAAGTAAGCACTATAAGGCTTGTGTTATGGGATACTAGGGTAACGGATAGAATACATATATAAGTATATTTATATAGAAATACATATTTAAACATCCATGACTGGAGTACAAATGCTTGTGTTCATCACACAAATATCTGCTCCCACCGGGATTCGAACCCGGGACCTCTCGAGTCGGCGACGCTATGAAACCCGGCGTATAAACCACTCGGCCACGGAGGTCGTCAAACATTTCAACTATGTCAGGGAAAACTTCGTCTTCATCCGCAGATACTCTACGATATCCTCTTTCTTCGTAGTTCGGCCCAATCTCCCTATTCCATCATAAAAAGGAGCCGACCCACCAATCCGCACTGGGGCCGCGTTGGCGCACTGGGGCCGCGTAGTGGCACACTGGGGCCGCGTGGCAAGTCAGCACAATCTCTACTCCATCAAAAAAAAATTACCACCCACCAATCCGCGCTGGACCCGCTTGGCGAGTCTTGGTCCAATCGTGAGATCGTAAGTCCATTTTTAGATGTAAAAGGGATATTCCATCCAAAACTGGACTTACATAAATCTGGCAGTTTTAATTTCTATAACATAAAAAATATTTTGATCATTGAGATACCTATATATAGTTCTTGCTTTGTTTGTGTTAGCGTTTTAAGTAAGTGGTGTAAATATTTTAGTTAGGTATTTTTGTGATGTGTGTTGATTAGTTATGATGGAAGACACAGAGTTGTAGGTGTGTAAATTTGTAAGCCAATAATGATATTTTCTCTCTTTCTTCCTTTATCTTTCATTTCTTTATGTACATATATTATTCAGAAATGGTCGGTGATTTTTAATGCAAGGTAATTTATATAAAGAACTCTGAATACTTGAGTATGAAAAAAATGTTATGCACTGTGAGATTTTTACTGTACAATAGGGGTGTCCCCTCTAAAAAAAAATCGATGTTTTTTTTGATTCGATACATCGCAACTATGCGTTGATGTCTTTCGATGTAACAGATGAAAACATCAATGTTTTTTAAACATCGAGTACTTATTCTACAATTTTATTACAAAACTAATGAGGAAAGTGATTATCTCAAAAGAGGCCATCTTTTTATATTATTTTTTTTATAATTGAAGTTTATGAAAAGAGCTTAATCCATTATTTTATTATAGTTTAGATAATTATTAATCTTTCATAATATATAGAACTAACTACTTTCATAATGAGTAGGTAAAAGTTAATACAAGTAAATCCATGTATCAGAAAGATCTGTATTATATTTTACAAAAAAAACACTAAGTAACCCGCAACATTTTTGTTAAGTGTCTCAAAAGAATATTAAAAATATACTTCAATCTTATTTGTTTCACAAAACCAAATGTAATTAAATGTTTTGAAACATCAAAACTCGCTCGCCAGCCGACATGAGAAAATAGTTTTTTTGTTATTGTCACTGCACTGACTCTTGCGCAGTGCTGCCAACATCGGATCCATATTAGAGAATTCGGAATAATTATGCGTTAATAGTAATAAGTAAAATTTAAGTGGTCAAACTTAAGTTATTTTTTTACTAAGGTCAAGCCAAAGTTAATATATTCACTACGTGGTCAAACTTGTCTATTACCTATTCCCTGTTTTTTTTAAAACATGGATGCATCGAGTATATTGAAAGCTTTTCAAAACATCGGATTGATTCGATGTTTTTCATTGCAAACATCGATGTTTTCGATGCATCGATGTATATCGAATATCCCTACTTGACAATACAGCAGGTAGGTAGGTAGATAGTCTTGAACCACAAAGTATTTGTAGGATACTCTACCTGTTAAATATGGAAAACCCTGAGTATCTTATTGTTCGATGCTATGGCATGGCAATCGTGCAAAAAAACAAATCCTCTCGTATTTTTTCAAATCAAACTTCGTGTAGAGAACTTAACGTTCCTTTAATTATATATTCGCCATCATTCCAATTGGGTAAGTTCATATTCGATTTTACCATACATCAGTGTCGATTAATGCCGGCTGTTAAAATGTATAGCAACACTTATATCAAAAGAATTACAGTTGTTCCCTACTTTTCTAGTCTAGTGTTTTATGGTGTGTATGCTGTTGGCCGCAGATGACCTTTACCAGCGTCACTGGGTTTGGATCCTAAGGGGACCTCAAGCTGAGAATTGGCGAGTGCCTCTACAGGTATTCCAGGCGGATGGCATCTCCCCACGGGGGGAGTCTCTGTCTGGAGCCACTAGACCACTTGAACCTGAGGGAGTCGGCTCAACTAGAGGGCGTCTCTGAGACTCGGACCTCGGCTCTAGTTAGCCGTTGTCGTGGGGGACTGCCTAATGCTAAGCTAGTGTGCACGTTAGCTAACTGTGTAGTGTTGGTGTTTGTGGCCTGTGTGGGAGGAATCGGAGGCGCGTTGGCGCGGGTGATTTCGCCGTCGGGGTAGTCTAAGACGTGCCTAGGCCGACGCAATCGGAGGGAGGTCTAGTGGTATGCACATTTTGTGTCATTTTATTTCGTAGCTTTATTATTTTGTGAATTGATAGTAAAAGTTGTTAAGCATCTGATTTTTTATTGTGTTAAGTAACTAATATTTTATTTAAAATTAACATTTAAATTGAAAAATAAACCTTTATGAATATGTTTTTTTTCATGAACCCCATTGTTTTTAGTTGAAAAAAATATTGTTAGTCATTTCATGGGTCGTCATAAGAATATTAAAACTAATCCCAAGTCTGTTGGTAGGTGGCGACAGTGCCCCAACAATTTTGTGCATCCTACTTTTACTTGAAAAAAAATCACACGGTCCATGCATCAACCTGGCTGTGGACCGAATGGTTATTTTCATTAGATTATAAGTTAAATGCTTTAAAATAAAAATATACTTAATAATTAAAACGCGAATATCGTGGAACACTCGGTTGAAACGAGGTAGTATAAAATAAACAGGAGTATAAGTACACATAGTACGATCCTGACGGAAAAGCTTCTTCCAAAAATAAAGGTAATATAAAGGAATTCCTGTGCTATTTTTTCAACTCTCTGCTTGCGCATCTTCTGTAATAATTGTTGTATTTAAATGTTTTACGGCGAAACGGAACCCTTCGTACGCTTTTTTTTTGTTTCCTCCCAGGCGGGGGAGAGGGTGAGAAATCCTCATGGATACCCTACAGCCGGCTGTAAGGTTATGTCAGACTCTTACTGACTAAAAAACACCCTTTAATCATGTTTATGGCCAGAAGGGCCTTACAAGCTTCATCTGAAGCGATCAACCCCCGAGAGGAGGATGATGCGGCGCTGCGTTAGTTTAAACTAGTGCATAGTTTAAAATAACGCAAAATGCGCTTAGAGGAATAGTGCACTCAGATGTGCACTTGAAACGGGAGGGGACTGAGAGGAATCGGACCTCTCTGTGTCGGAGGGTCTTCGTACGCGAGTGTAAGCCACTTTTGACCTTTTTTAATTACGGAAGGAAAGTTCTTCTCTACATACTCACTTTGTTTGTTTTTTTTGCGGAATGTAGTTTAGGTCGTAGAGATATCATTGTCCACTGAAGAAAGAATTTGCAATGACGGTTCCACGACTAACTTCGGAGTATTAAGCAGGTAACAATCGTCAGGCAAATAGCCTATCGTACTCAGTGGAAGAGACGAAGAATACTAATGGCCAACATGTGCAAAAGAGACGACACTTAAACTTGTTGGTATTGTGACGAGGTAAGTGATAAGGACACGAAAACAGATACCTTGTCGTTGGGTAGTAAGGTTTGTTTGTAATACACGGAAGAGTCAGTACTGGTACATTTGAAGCGTGGCAAACGTATGCAGCAATATAAGAGTGATTGGTATTTTTGTTCAGATTAACGGGTTTCGGAGTTGCGGTACAGGCCTCATTTAGCGAGCTAGCAAGCAGCCGCAGGATCAGGGTCAGTTGTCGTCGGGGCACGATAGCAACGGCGTGTTCTCTCACGAACAATTTAATATCCACGTGGCCGGCTTTTGTAACCACAGTTTTTAAGTGAGTACGTGCAAGTATTAATGAGTTAACATCCAAATCTGTTTCTTTAAACGTGCTCTATAATGGATTGCTAGGTACAACCCCTGCTTTAATTAATTTAGTTCCTTGTTGTCATGCCGTTTGACTGCAAATAACCAATTACAATACCATACTTATCTTTAGATTCCAAATTTGTATCGAATGCAAATTAAGTAGGTAGTTAGATGATCAAATATTTGCAATTAGTGCACCTATGTGTTTTATTTATTTATCTATTATAATCTTGTTATATATTTCAAGTGTTTAAATACTTATTATTACTAGAAACTGATAATAATATTAAATGTACCAATAGAAAAAAATACAGATATAAATGTTTTAAGACATATGTTTCTACATACAATTGCATGTAAATACAGAAATATAGATACAGTAAGTAAGCTTATTTAGTTATTACAATTATTTATTTGTCTATAAATAGAAAGAAATCCGATAGTGCAACAGATTTAAAGTAAACAAACTATTCATTCTTATACTTATAGGTATACTTACTTATATAAAACCTACTTCCTTCTTTGTTGCTCAAGATTTTTACTGTGGAGAACAACCCCTCTTTAACTTAGGTAACACGAAAATCCATATACCAGCATTATAATAAATTACTAGGATCCATAATATTATAATGCAAAAATAACTCCCGATTTTTAATAAATTTTGGTATGAAGATTACAGGGGTGAGTACTTAATTTTTTGACGCAAAATAAATACTTAAAGGGGGTGAATTAGGGGTTGAAAGTATTTATGAGAAACTATCAACCCCTAATTCACCCCCCAGACAAATAATTATTGGCCACCAGCTAGCTCGTAATAAAGATAATAAGTTAGTTACTGTTTATCAGTTCAATATAGGTAAGTATATGATGAGACTTTCAACTTCAAATAAAACAAACATTTAAATAACTAAGTAGGTACATTTTTTTTTTATGATCTAGCTCATAGATATTTTTTATATACTTATATTATTTTAATTTTTAAGCAATTAACTGCTCAATGCTTAAATTATGAAGAAAATATTGCTAGAAAAAAAACACTATCTAGATGCGGGTTCGTATCCCGTTTAAAACCTCGACCAAGTGGATTTTTTTCTAGTAATATTTCCTTTAAACAAAAATAAAGTCCTCAGAGACGACAGTCAATTTCTGAGTTTGATTTAAATTAACAATGTCACTTTCTATGCGACAGTAATAAAATCGTTCACGGCACGTTTTTTTTAACCGTACGGTTAAAACGCCGTAGGGTTGACAAAATCAGCAAGTTAAATTTTTAGCTGAAAATTTAACTTGCTGATTTTGTTACATTTTAAGCTGCTAAATTTTTTAACTGCTAGATGTTTAAGTCTAAAGCAAATGTTACTAGAAAAAAATCCCACGCCGACCAGGCAGCAGACGGGACTCGAACCTGCATTCTCCGCTATTCGGCTGCACTGATCATTTTATTTATTAGGGCCGGGTAGCATAATTGTGCTGTCTGGTTCGTATGAAATTTTTCTAGTAAAATTTTCTTTAGAAAAATCCAGGCAAGCTTGTACATGGCACGACAAAGCTAACGCTTGAGACAACGTCCAGGTGCCGCTCATATCTGAGTGGGCGTTCCGTCACCACCTAAATCTTCAAATATTGTATTTAAATGAATAATATATCTTTCCAGGAATCATATTTTAGCTGCTTATTTTTTAATCAATACCTTTTTCCATTTTATACATCTTTCTCGAACTAATATAATTAGTAATTTTTGATATAATATTCAATTTACTCGTAAAACAAAATTAGTAATTATATAATCTGTCACGAAAACGTGAAAATGCCCTAATACCATTTTGGTCTACAATGATTTCTTTATAATAAAAGAAAATGTAAGTTTTTGCTTGTAGGGGAAAGAACACATCATTTAAATGCTTAAAAGTACAAAGACATATGACTCATATTGGCTTATTCTAGACTTTTTTTTTCAATTACACCCAACCGCATAATTATTATTGCGTACTTACGAGTTACAGATGTAAATTCTTTTTTTTTCATATTTCAATCGACTATATTATTGTTGTATGGTACATGATGTGTTTTTTCCCATACAAGAATAATATTCTTTTTTGTATGAAGAAGTCATTGTCAGTCAGGCACAAATTGTACTTGGATATTTCGTTAAACACATTAAAAACTACATATTTAAAAATAACACTGTGAACACAACCGTCCGTGGCGCTAAAGCGTAACGTTTTTAATGTGAGATAAAGGTGTTGATTATTAAAAAATAAGCGGTTTCAGTATGATTCCTGAGAAAAAAATATTTATGCATTTAAATCTCGTAATTGAAGATTTAAGTGGTGTCCGAGACACAATCACCAGGAGACGTACTACTTTTATACCTAACTGACTACTGCGTCGAACTAAAAAGCTTCCCCGTGAACTATTAAGTACCTACATACTTTAATAAGCAAGTAACAAAATACTAGTTGTTAATAATGTGTCGCCAAAGTTAATCGACCACTTATAATATTATCACCATTAATAACAGCAGGTTCATTAACATTTAATCAAATGAATTTAGTTCAGTTTCTTGAGCAAGATTATAAATAGGTACCTAGATTTTAATACAACAAAAACATACTTTCCAATTATTTAAACGTTAATGCATTAAAAATCAATAATTATAATTTTCATGTTTTTATGAAGTCTAGTTTAGTTTTGTTTCAAATAATATCAATATATGAGCTACTGTTTACCGGTTTGCACGAGAGTCGAACGTTCGTGCGGCCCATGAGCGTCCACGTCCAATGATGAATTAATTAATTAATATGAACTTAAATTTATGGTTACATTTTTTATTTTATGAAAAAACTGGGAGCCAGTATGCTGACTGATCAATTAAACATACAGCCGAGAAACTGTATCTACGATTAAAAGTATAAAATATTGTAATAATGTTATTTTTCGAAATTCATTTAAATAAAAGCGTGTTACATTTTGCCGGTAAGAAAAAATAACCGACAACCTTCTTCAAGATGAATCGAAATCGCTTTGCTGGCCAAATACATGCGAGCAGAGGCTGGCAAAAGTTATTTAAGTATATTATATTATACGAAAATCTACATTTGTTATGGTTAAGAGCCAAATAAATTACATAGTAAACCTGCCAATATATACATGTACATATCATTACTGTTTTTAAAAAAAAATACACTCTTTTACTCCGAAACATGGCAACCAAGGAGATAACTTGTTATTTTAATTTCGAACCGACATGGCATTGTACTGTAATTAATAAGCTTTCATTTCCGCGCATAATTTGAGAAAAGTAATAAACAAACTTTGGCCACAACTAGGCATTGATGACCTTTTAGATGTCATACGTTCGTCCATTAATGCCTCTTTTGCTGGCTGCTGTAGTAATACCTACCACCCACCAATACACCCTGGGTCCGCGTGGCGCGTCACGGCTTTATCTCCCTATCTCATAAAAAATGTACCTGTTCGCGCCCGTATAAACCCCACATATACATACATATAAAAGAAAAGGAATATTACAAATCATAACGAAAAATTGCACTTATATAACGGATGGCGCCATCTATTGGATGTTACACCGGAGCGCTCTTAGCACGAGCGTCATTGGTTGTCGCCCGCAGATAGCAGATGTCGCTCGTGTTCGTGTGTTCGGCTGGTTTTTACCGACTATAATGTCATGACTTTGCTAAATTCATTCTGTCAAGAAAACTGTTACTGCTAAATTGTATCTATTATAACATAAAGCAAAATTACTAAAAAAACACCGAGCACAAATGAGTTGAATAACGTTGTATGACATTCGTGCGGATTGGTATTACAAACACGTGACTATGGTAAGCCTTATTAGTATTATATAGTAGTAATTACATTCGTCTACTCGTTTGTTATTTTGTCTGTATGTATTTTTTTTATATCATATATTTTACAACACTCACACCAATTAGCCTAGCCCCAAAGTAAGCACTGTAATGCTAGCCATACATACTACGAGAAATCGTTACGATCAGACTGTACAGTTCGAACGGAACAGTTTATCGGACGTGGCGTACGTATAGGAAACTGTGCAGTTTTATAACATACACGCTAGGATTTATTGGTACTGTTCGAACTGTACAGTCTGATCGTAACGATTTTTTGTAGTGTGTATGGCTGGTATAAGACTTGTGTTAAAGTGGCCATACACACTACGAGAAATCGTTACGATTAGACTATACAGTTCGAACGGAACAGTTTATCGTACGTGGCGTACGTATAGGAAACTGTGCAGTTTTATAACATACACGCTACGATTTATCGGTACCGTTCGGACGGTACAGTCTAATCGTAACGATTTCTCGTAGTGTGTATGGCTACCATTATCTGATTACCTACATGTTTACACACGGAAAAGGCAGTAGAAAAAAAGGTGCGATCTTCTCTAGTATTAAAAGTATGCGCGGACACGCGATGCTCACTTATTTGACATTACTTTCCAGAAAAATGGAAAAGGACTTAAGCTGCGAAATTGGTCCTCCGTGCTCGCTGGAGCTGGCCGATGGCACCGTATTCCAGGGCCGAAGCTTCGGTGCACCCATACCCACAGAGGGAGAAGTTGGTAAGTAGCGACAATGAATGGTTACAATACTTTATCCAGCGAACTCCTTTTAAACATTCTATTTCTAATCACCACATGGTGTCAGATGACGTAGTATTTTATTTTCTTCAGGTAGGTTTTTATAAAGATAGGTAATTCAAGAGATAGTAAGACTTAGTTCAGATGGTCGCACGACGACGCGTGTAAATTCTAACGCGCGTATAGAGTTTCTAATTCCTGAAAATAAATTTTAATTCGCCTTAAAAACAATGGAACTGTGCAGGCCGTATTTCAAGAACCGTTATAAATAAGCCGTTGCACAGAATGTGTGATTTGCATTCCATAAGAACAAACAATAATATATAATAAAAAACCGGACAAGTGCGAGTCGGGCTCGCCCACCGAGGCTTCCGTGCAAATTACTACAGGTACGCAACGTAAATATATCTTTTAAAATGTTTCTTTTTTTATGGAAACTACTAACTTTGTTTTTTTTTTCACAACTTCAGGAAGCCGTAGAGTTGAGTATATATGGTTTAAAGGACAATGTTAAAATTGGCCTAATAACCAACACCAATTTGGCATTTATGATAATTCTTAGTATATTTTTTTGCGATAATTATCAGTATTTAGACTGTCACGGACACTTTCAGTTAAGTAAGCTAAATTAAAAAGTTAAAAAATAATCAGAGACAATAAATACCATTTTATGTGTATAATCTATGACAGTGCTGCAAACAAAACACTCTTTTTTCCTTATGCCGGCAATTCACTTGGCCATTCGTATTTGCTATTTTATAACATGACATCAGTCTGTCGTTTTCATTCCTTATGAAGCATGACAAGGACAAACTGTTGTCAAGTGAAGGGCCGGCATAAAACCCCTTACTCTGTGGTTGTGGTGCAGGCAGTTTGCATTCGAAGTAATTTTTTTTTCTCTTTATTTTGTAATCTGTGGCATTCGTGCATTCCAAAGAGTAGTATTTTATACCGGAAAGTGCATTCTCGTTTCCGATTACCGGTTGTGTGTGTTTATTTGCGATTGGTTTTCCTTTAATTTAACTATTTCTGCTATCTAATATGCCATCGATGTTACCAAAGAGCAGAGCCCTTATTACCAAGTGCTAGTGAACCTGTGCCACAACCACAACATCCTGAGAGGATCATACTGCCAAATTATTCAAGAACACCTGATACACATTCACGCTGCATATTTACACAATATACATGTGATATACTAATAAATACAATATACACTTCTGGACACATCTATTGGCCCACCTTGTATTTTCAGTTTCGTTTGGTCCTAGCTAAAATTTTATATTAGGTCGAGCAAAAAGTTTTTATGCAGTTTTGAACCTGGCACATTCACAATTTCATTCAATGGTCTTTTTTTGAATTTCGAACACAGAATTTAAAGAAACAAAAGACAATTTGGAGCCTGTTTGTGGATATCAAACAATCGAATACTAAGAAAACTTGGTTTTATTGGTTTACTTGGATTTAATTCTTGAAAAAGTGATTGATACCTTTGGTTTTGCAACAAACATTACTTATTCTTAACATTATGGTGAGGTTCTATCAATAATCTATGGATACTTCACCTGAAGTCGCCGCCCAAGCTGTGGCACTTATTCAGGCCGGACACAGCCAAAGAAACGTAAGTGCTCAACTTAATTTACGTCGATCTGCGGTCCGAAATGTTTATCGGAAGTACCTAGAGACTGGCGGCTTTGTTCGTCGCCAAGGAAGGCCACGATCTCGGGTCACAACTGAAAGGCAGGATCGATTCATCGTGACGACCAGCTTGAGAAATCGTCACCTTACCTCCATTGAGATACAAAAACAAATTCGCGACTTCCACGGAGTATCTGTGAGTGCTCGAACTGTTCGGAGAAGGTTAAAATAACGCGATATGGTACCACACAAGCCAGCTAATGGGCCCAAACTAACGCGAGCCCACCGAACAGCGCGCCTTCATTTCGCACGCAGTCATTTAAATTGGACACAGCAAGATTGGAGCCGTGTACTCTTTTCTGATGAGTCTCAAATTGTGTTACATGGGAATGATGGAAGGAAGAAGGTCTACCGACGTTAGGGAGAGCATTTCGCACAATGCTGCTTTGAAGAGATGGTTGCTTATGGCGGTGGCTCATGGACTGTCTGGGGTGGTATATCCGCGAGCGGCAAAACTCAACTTGAGGTTGTTACAGGACCACGGCTGCCAACATTAAATGCTGAAAGGTACATTCGTGAGTGCTTAGAACCTCACGTGATACCATACGCGGACTATGTGGGCCCAAATTTCCTTTTTATGCATGATAATGCAAGCGCCCATGCGGCCGGCATCGTCAGGGAATATCTTCGGGATGTGAATATCACAGTTATGGACTGGCCAACTAGAAGCCCAGACATGAACCCCATTGAGCACATGTGGGACGAGCTAAAAAGACGTGTTAGGGCTCGTCAGCCAGTTGCCCAGACGATGCAGGAGTTGAAAACTGCCATAGAAGAGGAATGGGAGATGATCCCTCAAAATTTCATAGAGCGGTTGATAAACTCTATGCCTAATCATATGAGACCTGTGGTAGATGCCCATGGAGGCAACACGCGTTATTAAATTAAACCTTTATTTGATAAAACATGTTTTTTATTCAAAAATCAATTGCCTTTAACAAGGTGTATATCCACTTGTTAGGCGTAGCTCCATGTCGTATGGTATTCTGAATTCAAATTTAAAACAATACGATCGTAAAAGATGGTAAAATGTATCAGGTTTAAAACTGCATCAACAGTTTTTGTTCAATCTTGCAATAATATTTCGGTAGGGGCCATCGAAACCTAAACTCGAAGGTGGGCCAATAGATGTGTCCAGAAGTGTACAATAATTATGATACAATTATGTGAAAAATAGTCAATAAATAAGAAGCAAAAATACAGTTTCTATTTTATTCATGATTCCTACCGAACCAAGTTTTTCCTAATAGTTATTCTTTAAAATCGCACTGAATAAAATGAATTAGTTGTAACATCGATTCATTTCATACTGAGTTCATACTAAATTCATAGGTTGACCTATGTTTCATTGAATATTAAACATAACCTCGAAAAAATTTTAGTTTTCCTAATAACTTAAGTTCTCAGAAGTGTCCGTCAATAATCTTTGTTTTTACAGTCATTTACTTACGATTTTGAACCTAGAAAATAATATTTCATGATTGTTGGTTCTTAGGCTAACTATGGATGGACGCTGAACAATGTCCTTTCAATAAAACTAGTTTTTACCGGTTAATGCACGAAAAGTTTTAAAATTATTCTGACGATACAGACCTGAAAAGGCTGCGAAACGTCAATAAATAAATAAAGTTTCGTGCATTAACCCGTAAAAACTAGTTTTATTTAATGAGTGATGTGCGTGAAAACCTAAGAAACAAAAATGTCCTTTCAACTCGATACCTCTATGGCGTAGAGTCTACGCATTCCCAAGATAAAGGGTCTTGATAGGCAGACAATAAAGTGATCCTATAAGGGTTCCGTTTTTTCCTGTACGGAACCCCAAAAATGGCAATAATCCTTGGAAAGTAATTTATTCAAATGTCTTTGACCTTCTATCTTATTACCAGTTACGAATGAGATTTTTTTATTGTTACAGTATTTCAAACTGGCATGGTTGGCTATCCAGAGTCCTTGACAGATCCCTCTTACCACGCACAGCTGCTGGTGCTGACGTACCCATTGATCGGCAATTACGGCGTTCCAGATGATCAGGAGTGTGATGAACATGAATTGCCCAGGTAGCTAAATAAACCTGTCATTGTTTCTACCTCAGTAAATTTTGTGTGGGCAATTCGAGTCATTTTAATCTACGTCATATCACATGCTGTATATTCTATGTTAACAAAAGCACGTGTGCAATTGATGCATAATGAAATATTCCAGTTTTGAATAAATTGTGGGTTATCGATAAACTGTGACAACAATTAAAATATAACCAAGGGTAACTCACTATTTTAACGTGCACACAACATTAATATTTCCTTCCTTACCCGTGGTTCACCTAACAAGTTTGCTTTTCACTGTGAAACTTTTACAGGTGGTTCGAATCAAGCCGAATTTGGGCAGCCGGACTTATAGTGGGCGAAATTAGCACTAAGTCATGTCACTGGCGAGCTAAGCGGTCTCTAGGAAATTGGCTTGCTGCTCAAGGAGTGCCCGGCCTCTGTGACATTGACACCAGGGCCCTCACTTTTCGTCTTCGAGAGGGAGTTATGTTAGGTCGAATCGTTCAGGGTGTATCACATTTTGGACCTCAACATCCTCTGTCAGATCCCAACACAAGAAATTTAGTTGCAGAAGTATCAACTAAAGTAAGAGTCAACGTCTCTGTATTTAAAATACGGATCGCTTCTATTCCACACAGGGGCAATTCGTTTATTAATTGATCATTAACGATATTTTTTCAGAAAGTCAAAACATTCAACGCTAGCGGTGACATTACAGTTATGGCCGTAGATTGTGGGTTGAAATATAATCAAATAAGATGTTTGGTAAAAAGGAACGTAAAAGTAATCTTAGTGCCATGGGATCACAAATTTAACCCGAAAGACTACGATGGCCTATTTATCAGCAATGGTCCAGGTGATCCGGAAAAATGTAAAAAAGTAGTAGAAAATATCAAAGTTGCCGTCGGCGAAAAATCGGAAGTTAAGCCAGTGTTTGGAATCTGCCTTGGTCATCAGCTACTTTCCACGGCTATAGGTTGCAAAACATATAAAACAAGGTCAGTGCTTCTGTGATATTGAACTACTTATAAATATTTGAATAGCAACTCTCAAAGCTCTAAAAACAGCCCATAGCGCCTTTTAATCTGAAAAATTCGTTACGCTTCTCTGAAGCACCGTGAGTACTCGAACAGGGTATCTGAAAACTCCTCCCTGCTCATTCCATCCAGCCAACTAAGGGTCGATGAAAATGAACAGAGCCCTACCCAGTAAATACCAGATAATATTCCGTTGATAACATCGGACACCCAACATGCATTATAAGGACCGAGGTCCCGCTAATGCGCGTCGGTAGTGTGGAAAGTGACTCAGCACCTACATTAAACTGGCCACGCACCCACAAGTTGAACGTTTTATGCAACTGTAAATCATTCATATGGCGACATCGTGTCACGAAATAAAGGTTACCAACCTTCCGACCACGATGCGCTTTGAGAGAGTTAGCATGGACTCCCCTTTTCACCGCAATACTTCTTCTTTTTAATACTTCATTACCAAAACTAATGTTGGTTGCATGCCAAACATTTTGTAACATAGATGTAAACAATAAAAACAATGCGTTTTGATCTGATTTCTTTTTCAGTGTTATTGATCTCTAAGCATTCCAATAAATTAATTGATTACAATTCAATTAGTTTAATTTATTACAAGTGAAATTCAGATTTTAATACTTACTTATTTCGTTTGTATTTCAGTTACGGTAACCGTGGTCACAATTTACCATGCACCCATTACGATACAGGAAGATGCTTCATGACTTCACAAAACCATGGCTATGCTGTTGATGCTAACAGTTTACCCGAAAACTGGAAAATTCTTTTCACAAACGAAAACGATAAAACAAACGAAGGAATCATTCATAAATCAAAACCATTCTTCAGTGTTCAATTTCATCCAGAACACACAGCGGGTCCTACGGATTTGGAATGGCTTTTTGATATTTTTATAGAATCAATCAGGAGTTTTAAAAAAGGTCAGGAGTACATAATTGATCAAGAAATAACAAAGAAATTGAAATTCGATGTTACTGTTAACGAAAGGCCAAAAAAGGTACTTATTTTGGGATCAGGTGGCTTGTCGATAGGCCAAGCAGGCGAATTTGATTATTCTGGTTCTCAGGGTGTGAAAGCAATGCAAGAGGAGAAAATTCAAACCGTTTTGATTAATCCAAATATTGCCACAGTTCAGACGTCTAAAGGATTAGCGGATAAAGTATATTTCTTACCTATTACTCCAGAATATGTAGAACAAGTAATCAAGGCCGAACGACCGACGGGAGTATTGCTTACTTTTGGCGGACAAACTGCACTAAATTGTGGAGTAGAATTACAAAAGTCTGGTGTATTCGAAAAATATAATGTCAAAGTTTTAGGAACTCCAATTCAATCTATTGTTGACACCGAAGATAGAAAGATATTTGCTGAGAAAATTTACTCTATTGGTGAAAGAGTAGCTCCTAGTGCTGCAGTGACATCGGTAGAGGAAGCTCTTTCTGCTGCCTTGCAAATTGGTTATCCAGTCATGGCACGCTCTGCCTTTTCATTAGGTGGCTTAGGCTCTGGTTTTGCCAATAACGAGGAAGAACTTCGAACATTAGCTCACCAAGCTTTATCTCATTCCGATCAACTTATAATCGACAAATCTCTTAAAGGTTGGAAAGAAGTTGAATATGAAGTAGTTCGAGATGCATTTGATAATTGTATAACTGTATGTAACATGGAAAATGTTGACCCCCTGGGAATACACACAGGTGAATCCATTGTAGTAGCTCCGAGTCAAACTTTATCGAACAGAGAATATTATATGTTACGTAATACCGCGATCAAAGTTATAAGACACTTTGGGGTTGTAGGAGAATGTAACATTCAATATGCCTTAAATCCATTTTCTGAAGAATATTACATTATAGAAGTAAATGCTCGGCTATCAAGAAGTTCCGCTCTTGCAAGCAAAGCTACAGGATACCCTCTTGCGTATGTGGCAGCAAAGTTGGCACTTGGAATCCCTTTGCCCGTTATTAAAAATTCTGTAACGGGAGTAACTACAGCTTGTTTTGAACCAAGTCTAGATTACTGTGTAGTCAAAATCCCCAGATGGGACTTAGCAAAATTTAATCGAGTTAGTACTAAAATCGGAAGTTCCATGAAAAGTGTAGGTGAAGTTATGTCAATAGGTAGAAATTTTGAAGAAGCATTCCAAAAAGCGTTACGCATGGTTGATGAAAATGTGAATGGATTTGACCCTAATATAAAGACTGTCAACGAAAATGAACTGAGGGAACCAACAGATAAAAGAATGTTTGTATTAGCAGCAGCTCTAAAAGAAGGATATACAGTAAGTAAACTGTATGATCTTACAAAAATAGATCGTTGGTTTTTAGAGAAATTCAAAAACATCACAGATTATTATAAAAAGCTTCAGTGTGTTGAAGGAACAACGATTACATTCGATCTGTTGAAACAAGCTAAAAAGATCGGATTTTCTGATAAACAAATCGCAGCAGCGATCAAAAGTACCGAATTAGTAGTAAGAAAATTAAGAGAAAAGTATAAAATAACACCATTTGTAAAACAAATAGACACAGTCGCGGCCGAATGGCCAGCCGCCACTAATTATCTTTATTTGACATATAATGGCATCTGCCATGATTTAGATTTTCCTGGTGATTACACGATGGTATTAGGGTCTGGAGTATACAGAATAGGAAGTTCAGTTGAGTTTGATTGGTGTGCAGTGGGCTGTTTAAGAGAACTAAAGAATCAAGGAATGAAAACTATAATGGTTAATTACAACCCTGAGACTGTTAGTACTGATTATGACATGAGTGATCGACTATATTTTGAAGAAATATCGTTTGAGGTAGTTATGGATATTTATGATATCGAGAAACCAAATGGTGTCATACTTTCAATGGGAGGTCAATTACCAAATAATATTGCAATGGATTTACACAGACAGCAAGCAAAAATTTTAGGAACCTCCCCAGATATGATTGACAATGCAGAGAATCGTTTCAAATTTTCAAGGATGTTAGATCGTAAAGGTATCTTGCAACCCAGATGGAAAGAACTTACGAATCTTGAATCAGCTATATCTTTTTGTGAAGAAGTTGGTTATCCATGTCTGGTTAGACCTTCATACGTTTTAAGTGGTGCTGCGATGAATGTAGCATATTCAAATCAAGATTTGGAGGCCTATCTTAAATCTGCTAGTGAAGTCAGTAAAGAACATCCTATTGTTATATCAAAATATATTATGGATGCTAAAGAAATTGACGTTGATGCAGTTTCATCAGATGGAGTAATTTATTGTTTAGCAGTATCAGAGCATGTAGAAAATGCTGGTGTTCATTCTGGTGATGCCACACTAGTAACCCCTCCACAAGACATTAATAAAGAAACATTAGAGAAAATCAAAGATATTGCAAGCATCATCGCAGAAACATTAGATGTTACTGGTCCGTTTAACATGCAACTTATTGCAAAAGACAACGACCTGAAAGTTATTGAATGCAATGTTCGAGTCTCTAGATCATTTCCATTTGTATCAAAAACTTTAGATCATGATTTTGTTGCTATGGCTACTAAAGTTATTTTAGGAATACCTGTTGAAACAGTTAACGTCTTGGCCGGTTGTGGAAAAGTTGGTGTGAAGGTACCACAATTTTCATTTTCTAGACTTTCTGGAGCAGATGTGACTTTAGGAGTAGAAATGGCATCAACTGGAGAAGTGGCATGTTTTGGCGAAAACCGTTATGAGGCATATTTAAAATCTTTAATGAGTACTGGCTTCAGAATACCAAAAAAAGCTATTTTACTTTCAGTGGGCACATTCAAGGTAACTATGTCGGGAAAAATATAGTAATTACTTAAAAAGGTACCTAAAAATCTCAAAAGTATAATTTATCTATTTATGATTTTAGCACAAGATTGAACTACTACCTAGTGTTCGAGCATTACAGAAGATGGGATATAAGCTATATGCGAGCATGGGCACCGGTGATTTCTATACTGAACATGGCGTCGAGGTAAGAAACTGTTTTACTGTCATAATAATGACAAAATAGCAATTATCTTTCTGTCTGTTTTGTCCAGTAGCTTATTTTAAAACATGTAACCAGAATTTTACATAATTATAAAGGTGAAAAGAATGAATACATAACTAATTTTTAGCTGCTTTTATTTCTAATGCTGGCTGTTTAAACCTTACTAAATAAACATCGTCAATTTGGATTTACTTGAGAAAATTTAGTAGCGAAAAAAAAGGTATATTTCTGTAAAAAAATTTGTTTTCTTAAATTATTTTTTTCTATAAGTTCACGGTGATTTTTGATTGTTGGTGCTATGAACTATTTATGTAGTTAATATATTTTCAGGGTTGCCAAGGCAACAAGTATTTGTACGCAGCTAGTATTTTGTTTCTTATACGGCAATCACTGCTATATATATGTGATTTTTGAGTTACTTTAGAAACTTTACTAGCTAACTCAAACAACGATTTAGGTTATATTTCCGCAATTCTTTTTTTTTCTGCCATAATATTTTTCGAAAAATGAAAACTAACTCACCACCTTTATTTGTTTGTTAGGTTTTCACGCACACCATTCACAAATAACAGGAATTTTGTAAAAATATTTAATTTTTACAGGTTGAAAGTGTACAATGGACATTCGACCATATAGGAGATCCCGATGATGCTAGAGCGGACGGAGAACTAATGCATTTAGCGGACTTCATGGCTCGCAGGCAACTGGACTTGGTAATTAATTTGCCAATGCGAAGTGGTGCCCGTCGTGTCTCCACTTTCAGCTCACATGGATACCGAACCCGAAGACTTGCCGTTGACTACGCTGTTCCCTTAGTGACCGATGTGAAATGCGCGAAGTTATTAGTTCAGGTATTAAACTATATTCTTTTATAATATAATTCATGAATTTTTGGTTTAGTAATGCTGACAAGTTTAACCTGTACAGCACTATTATTTTGAAGCAAAGTAACTTATCAAAAATAATATTATTTATAGGCTATGACACGATGCGGCGGCGCTCCTCCTATGAAAACCCATACTGACTGTATGACATCCAGAAATATTATTAAACTTCCTGGTTTCATTGACGTTCATGTACATGCACGTGAACCAGGAGCAACATACAAAGAAGACTTTAATTCGTGTACGGCAGCAGCATTAGCTGGAGGCATCACCATGATATGCGCTATGCCAAATACAAATCCTCCTGTGGTAGACCGAGCTGCTTTAGAATACTCCTCAGCTCTTGCCAGAGTTAGCGCTCGATGTGATTACGCTTTATTTGTAGGAGCATCTTCTAATAATTTTGATACAGTTGTTGAACTGGCGCCTCAAGCTGCTGCACTAAAAATGTACCTCAATGAAACTTTCACGACCTTGAAACTCGATGATATGACCGTGTGGCAGAAGCATCTACAAAACTGGCCTAAAAAAATGCCAATTTGTGCTCACGCGGAACGTGAAAAGACGGGTGCAATTATTTTAATGGCCTCATTACTTGATCGTCCAATTCATATTTGTCATGTTGCTAGGAAAGAAGAAATTTTAATTATCAGAGCTGCTAAAGAAAGAGGTTTGAAAGTAACTTGCGAAGTGTGCCCTCAACATCTGCTTCTGAGTACGGATGACATTGAACGAATTGGGGCCGGTCGTGCTGAAGTACGTCCAATTTTGTGTAGTCCCGAAGATCAAGCAGAGCTTTGGAGGAACATAGATATAATTGACATTTTTGCTACTGACCATGCTCCACATTCAGCCGAAGAAAAAAATTCGCAGAATCCTCCACCTGGTTTTCCTGGCTTAGAAACTATTTTACCTCTATTATTAAATGCAGTACATGAAGGTCGTCTCACTATGGAAGATCTAATTAATAAATTTCATCGTAATCCTCGAAAGATCTTTAACCTTCCCGAACAACCTAATACGTACGTTGAAGTGGATATTGATTATGAATGGACTATTCCTTCTGCTATGGAATTTTCAAAGTCAAAATGGACTCCCTTTGCCGGTATGAAAGTTTGTGGAGCAATACATCGTGTCACTCTAAGAGGTGAAATAGCATATGTTGAAGGTCAGATACTTGTGCCTCCAGGATTTGGTCAAAATGTACGAGAATGGCCTGTTCCTAAGAAACAAATGTTCCCCGTTTATGCCATAGAAAAAAATAGGGAGGAAATAACTAGTCGACCAAACTCAGCACTAGACTTCCACGCCGGTGAATTAAGTCGCTTGAGTGACTTTGAGTTAGACCAAATCGACACCAAACCCGACATACAAGCCAAATTGAACGTTCACTTTAATGAAGTCACTGGCAGATGCATTTCACCCCTACCACAGACGAGTTCAATGAGACAAAGATGCGATAGCACATCTAATAATTACAATCCACCAATTGCAGCACCATCGAACCGTCAACGGAGTGATCTTTTTGGAAAAAGTATTATAACAGTGGCTTCATTCAGTAAAGAAACCCTGAACGATATATTTAATTTAGCTCAGTTCATGAAAACGAGCATCAGTAAAGGCCGATATTTAGATGATATTCTAAGGGGAAAAGTTATGTCTTCAATATTCTATGAAGTTAGTACACGCACAAGTTGTAGTTTTGCAGCTGCGATGCAAAGGTTAGGCGGATCTGTAATCCACACTGATGCAACGAGTTCATCAGCAAAAAAAGGAGAAACTCTGGAAGATAGCGTCGCAATAATGGCCAGCTATTCTGATGTGGTTGTCCTACGTCATCCAGAACCTGGTGCTGTAACAGTAAGTAATTGTCATCTTTTTTGTTCGAAAGTAAAATTAGATTTGATGATTTATATGTCTCTTTTACAGAAAGCATCGAAGCACTGTCGCAAGCCAATCATTAACGCAGGTGATGGAATAGGAGAACACCCTACCCAAGCTTTACTCGATGTTTTCACTATTAGAGAAGAAATTGGAACTGTGAATGGGCTTACAATAACCATGGTCGGAGATTTAAAGAACGGTCGGACAGTGCACTCTCTCGCTCGACTTTTAACTTTATACCAAGTCCAGTTACAATACATTAACCCTCCAGGACTGGGTATGCCTAAACACATTATGGAATACGTTGCAAAGAAAGGAATACCACAAAAAGTCTATAATAGTCTGGAAGATGTATTGGGAGAAACCCACGTCCTTTACATGACTAGAATCCAGCGAGAACGATTTAACAGCCAGGAAGAATATGAGAAGGTCAGTATTAATGAAAAGGAAGGTTTATTTTGAAAAAAAAAAATCTTGTTCAAAAATAACAAAAATTTTAAAAACGTTAATTACATTTCTCATTTCATTATTCACTTGCATTTTTATATCGTGTTTTGGGAGCTAATGTTGTTATGCCCAACAGCTAAATCATTGCATTATTGTCGTAGTTGAATTAAAAGATATTGAAATATAGGATATATTTAGCATCAAGTTGAGGAGAGAGCATAGCGGATTTTCGCTTGTATTAGAGCGTCCGCCTGGGGAAGTAACCTCCACCTTACAGAAGTGCACAGTAAAATATCAGCACCTTTTGGTAGTGTTGTGTTTCTGTCGGTGACTGGGTCAGTGTAGGCAATGGCGTGATTTATATTTTTGGTATCGAAAATGTCTATAGGCTATAGTGGTCAATTACCATCAGGCGGGCCAAAAGTATTTATGCCACCCTTTTAACTTAAAAAAATCTATGTACACTCCCGGACACCTAAATCGAGCCACCTTGATTTTTTTGGTTTGGAGTACTGTAACTTATAAAAGATGTATGTAGAAGGAAAATGTTTTGATGCAGTTTTGGAGCTGGTATACTCATCATTCATTTAGAGTGCCACTGTTCTAAATTTGAACTACAGTTTATTAAAAAAGTCGAGTTACGTTGAAACAAGTCCATATTTGCTTTTTTCAAGGAAAAAAGATCTAATCGATTTTTAAATAAAGACATGTTTTATATGAAAAGAAATGTTTATTTAGTAACTTGCATTGCCTCCCAGTGCATTTATGACAGCTCTCATACGGTTTGGCATAGAATTAACCAATGTCGTTATGACATGTTGAGGAATGTCCTCCCATTCTTCCAAAATTACATTTTTGAGCTCCTGCATGGTTTGCGGGGCAGGATGATGAGCTCGAACACGCCTCTTCAGCTCATCCCATAGATGCTCTATAGGATTCATATCAGGACTTCGCGCTGGCCATCTCATAACAGTGATACCAATGTCATTTAAGTACTCCCTGACGATTCCCGCAGTATGGGCCCTTGCATTATCATGCATTAAAACGAAATCTTGGCCAATAAATCCAGCATATGGCATCACGTGGTTCTCTAAACATTGGCGAATGTATCTATTGCCATCTAGGGGCGGCAGTCGTGGTCCCGTCACTACCTCTAGCTCAGTTTTGCCTTCCATAGAGATTCCTCCCCAGACTGTCCATGACCCTCCACCATAACTCAATTTCTCGTCAATACAGCATTGCGCGAAACGCTCGTCTTCGGTACACCTTACTCCTTCCGTCATTACCGTATAGCATTATCTTGGACTCATCTGTGAAGATAACCTGGCTCCATTGATGTCGAGTCCAATTTAGATGTTCGCGCGCAAACTCTATACGGGCTATTCGGTGTGCTCGTGTCAATTTGGGTCCATTGGCTGGCTTAGGGGGCTTTAAACCACGTTCATTGATTCGCCTTCTAACGGTCCGAGCACTTACAGCCACTCCGTGAAAGTCCCTGAGCTGTTCTTGTATCTGAACAGAGTTAAGGCGTCGATTTCGTAAGCTAGTAGTGACAATGTATTGATCTTGTCTCGCCGTTGTCACTCGGTAACGAGGTCCTCCTGTTCGCCAAACGAAGCCGCCAGTCTCCAGGTATCGGTGGTACACTCTTTGAACAGCGGAACGACTTATGTGAAGTTGAGAACTCGCGTCTCTCTGACTTAGCCCAGATTGAAGAAGTGCTACAGCTTGCGCGGCTACTTCAGGTGAAGTATCCACAATTTTATAGCCAAAAACGGTTCAAATTATAGAAAAATAACTAAACTAAACTTTGGTTTACAACAATTGCGAAAATTCAAACCAAATCGACATTAAATTTGCTTCAAAAGCAACTTTCAACAGTCATTATTTTTTTCAAATCAGTGACCAAGCTCGTCTTTTGTACTTTATTTTAAATTCTAAAATTCAAATTTGGAATTATACATACGGGAAAGACGATGAAATATGCCAGCATTAAAAATGCATAAAAACTTTTTTGTTATATTGTATATTTTTTGTGTATTGGGCTTTAGGGCCCGGGAATGGAAGGTGGCTCGATTCAAGAGTCCGGAAGAGTATAATGATCTGAAACAACAATGTCAGGTTGCCAGCTACTTTAGGCTCTGTACTTGGATAAGTATTTTATAGCTTTTTCCTATAAGGAATTATGCTTCGATAATTTATATGTATATGTTTTCAAGCATGACGTTGTTAAGGGAGGCTTTTTAAAACTATAATAGGAATTATACATGTCAATTTACTTCCTCTAGCGTCTGTCTACGCTTATAACTGCTGTCATGTGTGTATGGATGTTTATTTTTACAACTGCCAAAACAAGAGTGTAATGTTTTCAGGGTTCATGTATGTATGTACAATTCTTTATCATGGTTTATTTTATGTGACTAACGTATCATGATTGTCGAATTTCACAGAGTCGCGGGCTGTTAGTGGTGACGCCACAACTGATGACTCGGGCGCGTAGGCGCATGATCGTAATGCATCCGTTGCCGCGCGTCGACGAGATATCAGCAGAGTTCGACACGGACCCGCGCGCTGCCTACTTCCGGCAGGCAGAGTACGGCATGTACGTAAGAATGGCACTGTTGGCCATGGTTGCGGGAACCAATCCTCTTGTGTAAGAAGCGTGTTTTTTCAACGAGGAAAGTGAAATGACAGTTCTCCTCTTACATATGTCTGTGATTATTTAAATATTATGAAATACTGTAATGTTAATAATAAGCCTTATTTTTTTATATTGATAATAAAATAAAATGTTATATTATTTTAGGTTATATATGTGAACCTACGAATCATATTATACTAATTGTTTATTCAGCACATTGTGCATCGTGTGACAAATCGAATTTAAGAAGATATTTATTTTTTAAGATGAAGCGAACGCTTGCGCGTGCACAGGACTGACTGCTATTACTGCTTTGCATTCGCTAAAACTTTATACAAAGCAGTTCGGACGTCTTCCTTAGGGACCTTCTCAGTGGCTTCATTCATGAAATGCATATAACGCCAATTCAGAGCGAAAGTATGTGTGGCTCTAAGTTTATCTCTAATTATTGGAAATAAAAAAGAAGTTCCAGCATACGTGATCCGGGGTTTAAGGCGGATGCGGCATCAGTTTCATATTTGAATCTTTTAAATAAGCTCCCCTTACCTTAGCGAAATGAGTGGATGCGTTTTCGTGGTGAAATTTAACATTGCTTTGAGGACGTTTTTCGTAATCGTTCTAAGACTGGAGCAAGCAAGCGTTGACGTACCAATCTGAAATCACTGTCCTTTGATCATCAAGTGATACTGTCGTGTAATATCATTCCAATGCAAGTTTTTATGTCAGTTTCAATAAGTTATCGTACTGTGGCAATATTAAATTCTGTAACCGCAGTCGCCGACCAACCTTTACGTACCTCGTCATGGAGCTGACCACGCCCACGTATAAATTCTCCAAATAAAGAATTCACCAAATGGCAATTGAAATTTGTGGCAATTCTGTATTACTTCAAAAATCATTGAACAAAAATATTCTCGAGTTCAATTCATTTTATAGCGACAGTTTTGAAAAGATCCCACAAACCACAATAACAAAAAGAAATCACAGTCATCAAACCACAATAACAAAAAGAAATCATTAATGAATGTTCGAATTTTATAATTGTTTTTCATTATTTTATTGTAAGTGGCCAGATCCAGAAACTTTCCGTATGTCCCACATATAAACATTTTAAGACTGGCCACGCATGGATTTCTCGAGCAGTTAGCCAGTGGTAAACATACACTGACCGCTCTTGCTGTCAAAGTCTCGAAGCTACTATTACATTGGGCTGCCAAACGCCCGAACCAGTCGCACGCCCAAACTGCTCATGCGGTTCCATCCATATATCTCTGTACATTGAGTTCATTATGCAGTCGCAGCTTGAAGCAGTTCATGATGTATGGCCGGTCTTACACACCTTTTAGTGTCGCCGCACACGCGCCACCGACCGCAACCACAAAACGCCGCCATATTTCTTGTAGTTTTCATACATTTTATATGGACTCCATATAAAACGCACACACATGGTACGCCGGTGGTGGCCCCACACGCTACAAATCGTCGTTGATCGATTCTAGTGGCCCGCAAATGCGTCGACACAAAACGCTGCCACACGTCACTCGCGCGATTCCCCACCCCTCTCTTTCTTACCTTAGTCGGCCGCTGTCGCGCGCTTCAGCCACTTTAGTAGCCGCTTCTAGCTTCTCGTGGCGGCGTTCGTGGCTGTGACGTGTGGCCCGTGTGCGGCGACACTTAGTGTATAAAATCTACTTAGATGTTACATATTTTAATGTTATAATAATATATCGTAAATTGTAATTGGAATAAATTTTCAATTTTCTTTTTTTATATAATAAAAGGTTTGCCTGCTTTCAAAGTGGTCCCATATCCACCCAGTCAGGGTCTGATGCTGGAATTCAGAAGAAATCGAAGGAGCTCTTCAAAAATTATAGGCACATTTATAGAGATGCTATTAAAATAAAAATCCTATTAATTTAGGGCGACAGTATTTTCTGTCACCTAAGTTTAGATTTATCGTGTATCTACAATACCCTTATAATAATATGTACATATATCCAAGAAAGATGTTAATCATCTTAGTAATCAAAACGATCTGTAATATTAATCATGAAATTAATGTTAATCTATTTCTTAAATTATAGATTGATCACTCTGTTCCTAAAAAAGTAAGTCACGTGCAGCTATTATACATTGGTATAGAAAATAATAGATCTGTTACCAAATAAATGGATCAGTTCCATAAATAAATGTTAAGGCATTATTAAGGGCAGAATCAAATTGGCGGTCTGTAAAAATTAACTAATCACCGCTGTTTTGTCTGAAGAATTAAGTGAAGTGCTAGTATTGGACTTTTGTTTTATAGACAGAGTAATTGGTTAGCTTATATTAGTGCCTCGACCGCAGCCGGCGAAGCGCCAGAAAAACCTGACCATTTTTAGAGAACTTCCTACATTTTATTGTATTTTCATTTTAAGCATTTAACTGCTAGATGTGTAAATCTAAAGAAAATTTTACAAAAAAAAACCAGGAAGCAGACGGGACTCGAACCCGCACCCTTCGCTATTAAGGGTATACACCGACCAAATATGCTACCGCGACCTTAATAGCCGTGTCGAATTTCTCCTAGTATTTCTTAGGCTGCAAGGCATCACTTCGCATTGTAGGTGTCCCACGATGACTAAACTAAATGTTTAATAAATTAATACTTGTAAAGTTTGACATTGTGGGTTACCTACAATTTAAAGAGATACCGCTGCCTTGCAACCTAAGTAACACTAGCAGGAACCTACGGCAGTTTAACTTTATTGTATGTCATCGAGTTTCAGGCGAATTAATTTATGATTTTGAAACCCTATACATTTATCTGATGATTTTTATTATTTCCAAAAAAACTTAATTAATATTTAGATAATCGTTTTGATATTATTTGATGATTAAATGTTGGTAACTGATTTACTATTTTGGGAACAAATATGATTTATTTATTAAGTGATTGAAAATGCATTTTTTGGTGTTTCATAAAATCACACCCTTAAGTAAGGTAGTTTTTATAATAACTGGTCTATGCTCTCGGAAAGTGCCATACAATATTTGGAGTCAGTGCCAGCCAACCCAAGTAATAAACGGCAACTCTGTTTGACAGGTATAGCACTGATTCCAGATATTATTAATATTTATTACTTTTATTGTATTAATGTAAAAGATAAGAAGTATTTCTCAATATTAAAGCCTTTATCTTCATGTAGTAGGTTTTTTTAATAAATAAAAAATAGGTTAGTTGGGGACCTTCTAACTTTGATTACAATGACAATAACTTGTTTTTAGAGTTTTAGTTTCTATTTGGCATTACAGGCGAGTTCTTTTTTAATATTGTCCTTTTTACTTCCTTCTTAGTAATATGGGTATGTATGTACAGACGAGGCGAAGGGACCAAGGTTTTTTGAATTTTTAGAATAAAATTATTATTATAAATTTTAAAAATTAAAGCAAATGTAATAAAATTATAAATATTTTAATAATTAATTATTCTTAAAACATTGACACTGGTTTATTATAATATCATAAATAACTTTATAAAAGTTTAAATAGATATTGTTTAACTACATATAATTAGATTTTAATTAAAAAGAAGGCTTTCATACACAGGTATGTACTATTAAACATTACAAAAACTTATATTAGTAGCAAAAATCTTATTTAAATAAATAAAATATTTCATTGAGGGAGATTCTTATAAATGTTGTATAATATTGTAGAACTATATTTTTTACAATTTAGAGTCTTCTTCATCTGAATCAATATCGTTTAATTTTAGCACGCCTTGTGTTGTTGAATTATCAATATGAACATCCACAAAAGTGAAAGCAGAAAACCCAGACGCTTCAATTGGCGCATCTTGAATAGCATTTTTTTTGCTCGTTTTGTTTATCACTGGTTTCGATGTCCAGTCAGCACTACTGTCCCGGCGTGGAGGAAGTTTGTAACCTACCTGTGTGACTAATTTCCTCTGACAGTCAACTAATAAATCCCTGATTACATCAAGAAATTTGGTAGCATTTGATTCACCTGCAGGTTCTTCCTTTAATAGCAAACAGAGCCTTTGAGATTGTTCTAAATAGATAACCGCCTGTCTTATGGCATCAAATTTTTGACTGGACCTAGCCATTGCAATGAAGTGCTTAATGAAAAATTCCAAAACTAAGCGCCGTCTTTCCACTTCCAATCGCGCTGGTAATATAATCTGGAAAGATAATTAAACATATAAGTCTGTCCCATATCAAACTCATCAAGTCAATAAACAAAAATTGTAATAGTAATTTCATAAATATTTTATCAAACTTTAAGGCCCGTATTACAGAATGACCACTAAGTGTTGATCTTTACAGTACAGTTAGAAAGGGATGTCGCTATGTGATATATATAACGACATCCCTTTCTAACTATGCTCAAGACTAGATCAATCACTAAGAATCTTTCTATAATACGGGTCTTACAATGTTACTTTTAGGATCTCTCCTGAGTGAATTTTTATGCTTGTCAAGTCTGAATATTATTTAAATAATTGATAATATTGATGCTTACACTAGTGTTAATTTTTCCCCGATCTTGCTTTATTGATAGTCTTTTTTTTGCTATTTCAGCTTTTCTTCTCTCATTAACCTGTCTGTATTTCTCTTTTTTCCATTGGTAATTTTTATCAATTTTTTTTGCTCTATCCCATATGCCTAAGTTGTCAGGATCATCATCACTATCTGGATTATTATCATATATTTTTGAACTAGCTACGGGCAAATATGGATTTACAAGCCTCAGTGGATCTTTACTTATTAAAATTTCATATAATTCATGTACTTCAAAGGGCGGATAGAATTCTTCTGTCGTATATTTGAGTTTACTTAGTGCTCCAAGAACATGCATCACCGGCGATTCCAAAATATTAGATAATCTTTTTTGAAGTTTTAGAAGCAAAGGTCTTGGAATACTTTTGAAGTCGTTACAGTTCTCTATGAAATAATTTGGGAACCTTCCTTGTCCAAAACGTACATACAAACTACTCAAAAATAATCGCAGTGATTCTCCTAACCGATGCTCTGGCCATTTTGCGTAATTATCCTCACACTGCCAAAAGAGATGATTTTTCAAGTGTGAAGCATCGAAACCAATTTTAGACGTTTCATTATCCATAAAAGTTTTTTGTAAAGCCAATGCAAATAGATAACATCTCATATGTGCATGTGCTAAACAGCTTTCTAAATAACGTTCAGCTGCGGGAAATGTCACTTTCCATTGCAAACTTTGACTGGAATTTAGCCCTCTTTTGGGCCTAAATCCTATAGGTACAAGGAAGCAACCAAATCCTATAGTTTTATTTACCATGTATTTAGTCGGCCACTGATAGCTAAAATTTGTTCTTGGATTCTGAATAATTTTTCTTTCTCTGATTATCCATTGATTTGCGGTGTTTGGCCAGGCAGCGTTAAGAGCTGGAAACACTTCAATTCCTACTGTACTGCTATTTCTTTTAGTATCACAATAGATGCTAGCACCTTGAGTCATAGCATCACTAATTGATTCTTGAGATATACCCAAAACAGATCCCAAATTTAAAATGAAGTTATCGACAAAATCATGCATAAATCCAACAGAACATAAATAGTAATGAGTTTCATACAAATTTCGTGATAAAGATAAAGTTGATGCAGTATCATCAAGTTCCTCTTCATCATCACTCCAATCAATAGCTTGCATTTGCACAGCCGTCCATGTTTTGTCATGCAATACGCCACAGGTTTCCGAGGTATTCGATGGAGAGCTAAGTTTAACTTGTTTTGGTGTCGTTGCCTCTGTTATAGTAGAATAACCGTAATCGGACTCACTCTCGCTAATTTCATTCTGCCGGCTAGAATTGGATCGATATCCAGATGTTTCAGTATCTTCAGAAATTGTACTATCTATAGGTGTTGAACGAATCTCTACGTAATTGCTTTTATTAAACTTTGCAGTTTTTGTGGGTCCACTAGGCCTCCTAGATTTTTTTAAAATTGATTTCCTTGGTTTGCTTGTATCATCAAATTCGATATTGTCATCATGTTTATCATTGATGTAATTTTTTAATTCAGCTTCTTCAGAAAGGACTAAATTGTTTTTTCTAAGTTCATTCAATTTGTTTATGTTACTCTTCGCAACTTGTAAGCTAACTTGTTTTATCGGCCCACTGCTTCTTCTTCCAGGTAGTGATGAATTCCCTTTTTTATAATTAGTTTTAAGTGTTCCAATATTTCCCGCCTCGTCTATTTTACTTTTTAATTTGCTTAATAATGCCTCTCCTTTTGATGAATATATTCCATCGTCAGAGTCGTTAGACTCTTTCTCTGAGTCCGCATAAATACTGTCATCTGAATCTTTATTCTGATTGACTTCCACTAAATCATTGTCTTTTTGAAGCGTACTTTCTAAAACTTCCATTTTCTTCAATTTTACGAAACCTGCAATTGTAATAAGTAAAATAATAGACAACGTTCAAAATTTGGGATGTTGATAGAAAATCGGACGACAATAAGTTGTAAATCTACTAATATTAGCATAAAATAATTAACATTAAATTGATTGTGTCATACATGCCTGGCTCTTTGCAATCTTCTATGCGTAGTTTATAAAATGGAGCATCAAGTACTGCACTGTAATCAGATGTGTCTCCTGGTTCACTGGCTTCCACGTTATCGTATATCACAAAAAGTCTGGGTGTAATGAACTGCTCCACTTGCCCCTGTCCCTTCTGATAACCAACGTGTTCGTTCACGTAATCTTGAAGGCGGTCCGCAAAGAAAACGTGTTTATTATAGCGGACCATTGCTTCATTAATTAAGTGTTCACGTTCACTTATTGGATTTTTTTTGATATTCTGTGCATCTCTGAAACAAAACGGTTTCTTATAGATATACATCTGATTGATTTTATAACTAGAAGTTATACATGTCGCAGTAAGATAGACAAAACCGTAATGTAGTTATATCGGGATATAATTATATATCGTAACATAGTAATACGTGTGCCGTTTAGGTAGAAATGAGTAGGCAAGAAATAGGTAGGTAGATGTAATTTAATTATATATTACAAGTTTTTTAAGACTATTTAAATATTTTTTTTTCTCTAGAGCGTGAGTGCTAACATAGCAACTGTAGTTCACGACACTAACTCACTGTCAAGAACTGTCCTGGCAGACGCTTCAGTGAGCTCCCTACTCGTAGAAACGCAGCCAGACGGTTCGCTCCGGCTTTGTTTTCTGATTTATTTTTATTTTTTATTTTGATTAATTTATTTATTTTTTGCTACTTTTTAGGAGTAATAGTTTTTAAATTCAATTCAAGGTTACTTATAAAAAAATAATGGTTAGTAATTTTTTACTTTATGATCTTCAAAACAATAGGTTTATTTGCATTTAGTTATTATTGTTAGTGTTTCATTATTGCGCTTCCTGAGACACATTGCGTAATTTTTGTGAATTTCGGAATTAGGAATTTCTCAAATACCTTAATAAGCACTGTTGTTATGACTGTTGACATTTTAAAAACGAGTGCATTGCCGCTTTAATGGAAAATAATAATAAAAATTCAACTTTCTTTTGCTCGACTTCAGTGTTAAATCTTGAATAGTATAATATTAACTATTGTTAGTACAGACCTCTGCGTATGCGAGTCACTTGTACTAGTTCTTTTTTTATTACCCGCAAAAATTGTATATTCTTGATATTTAAGTCGTATCTATATTTTGATAATAAATGCATAAGTATTATGTCTAAAACTAAAAATGTGCACCTGAGAAATATTATGGGGAAGTGAAGTACTCAATACTCCACCAATCCATCCTATTTCGCCTTTTGTTTGGATAGACGCAGAGTCCAGCAGTGCTATTCTGTAAAATTTTCACGCGCGGATCCAATATGGATCCAGATTTATATCGGAACCGGGATCGGAGCGGTGAAAATTTTACAGAAGAGCACTGCTGTACGCAAAAAGTACGTGCAGTATACAAAGGTGCCGATCCAACCCCGGCCGCCTTTACAGAAAAGCCTTATTTCCCTTCTTTATGTAGTTTTAATGACTTTACGAGCTAAAAAAACATAACTTTATGAAATACTAGCGGCCGCCCGTGACTTCGTCCTCGTTAACTTTAGTTTTTTGACAGTTCCACAGAAACTTAACATTTTTCCGGAACAAAAAGTATTAATGTCTCAATCCAGGTTATAAACTATATGCAAACCAAATTTCATCCAAGTCCATTCAGTTGTTTTTGCGTGATTGAGTAACAAACATACAAACTTTTTACATACAACGTTAGCGATTTCGGTCTGCGATTGTACAAGCAACTTCGGGACCGAAACCAACGATATTAAAAACCCTTTCGTTACCCAAAACTTAGCAACTCGTGCTTCAGAAGGTACATTTAGGTCCTGGCTGGAGCTGCAGTCGTTAGCACCCACCAATCCTCACTGAACCCGCGTGGTGGAACTTGGCCTATTCTCCCTATGCCATCCATAGGTAGGCTTGGGCCCTACAGTGTGTGTAAGCCATGACCATTTTAAACGAGTCCAGGGGCATTGTCAAATTTTGTATGGAAGGAGCCAGTTAGATGCGCCCGGTATGGGCAACTAATTGGCTGCTGATGGCCGCTGCTTAGTTTTTATAGAAACTTTGACGATGTGATACGACTCGTGTTTGGGCCTCAATGCAGCCGGAACCAACGGATTAGCGGGCCTTGCGAAGCACAGAGTAGCTCGGGGTCATGATAGTAAAGTGTCTCATCGCAGTTCATGATCTCGGACAGAACGCGCTAAGAAGTACTGTATCATCAAATCGAGCTCCTCGGTTTGCATTCTTTGACACAACAGCTTGAAATCTTAGTCATACCGCAATAGAATAGTTTATTTCTATTTAACTGTCGAAAAATAGACTTAAGATTATTCGTACGACGTACGACAGGCTAAAACAAAGCGATTACTATTCTTTGATTTTACCAATCTGCTGCGGGAAAAGTTTATTAAAATGAAAACAATGTTGCCCAATCAATGACCAAATTTTTTTTTATTGATATTGCATATAAAATTTTTACTAAGATTGCGAAAATGTGTTTTTTGTTTTTAAGAACCTTCGGACTCTAAAATATCACCAGTGCAATAGTAATTGTGAGTGGTTATTTGGAATTACTCTAAGTAGGAAAATATTAATATTGCTAATATAATCCTTATATATAGTATAGGTACTTAATTATTTCGCTTCCTTATCTGGGCGGTATCTTAAGAAACGTTTTATATAGAGCCACAATATAATATAAGAGAGATATAAAATGGAAACAACATAATTATCAGGGACTTTAACAGTCTGCGAATAAACTTTGATTAAAATAGATAAGTAGGTACTTCTCAGTAAAAAAAATCACGAATTGATGTCTAGAAATATATATTTAGAACAACTGATTATTAGTTTTGTTGAGGAGTTTAACAAATGAGGCACACAAATTCACATATTTATGTTCCATTACTACAATGTTATAGATCACCAAATTTAAGTTTATTAATCTGGTTGATTTATAAATATAAGGAAACTTGTTACTAAAAAAATGCAACTCCCTGAAACCTTGACCGTTTTTTTTCTAGGTTTTTTTTACTATATAGTAACTTAATATTTAACTTTATATTCACTTTCAATGATAACCCGGTTCTTCCAAAAACATAATAATACACAATTTAAACAAAAACCCTTATCTTTAAAAAGTCAGTAATCTCTATTCCGTGGCCTTCAAGAATCATTAACAGGATAACAAGTCCTGTATTCGTAATTAGGTTAAAATTTAAACATTTATTATATTTACATATTAATATTTACAAAAGTTTAAAACTAATTATTGCCTAAAAACTTTAAAGGACAAAACAAAATTAAGTACAAAAATAATAACAACCTGCAAAACAAAAAAATATATCACCCCCAGCGCCGACGTCGGGAATGGTGCCCAATAGGCTGGCGGCATTTCCACGTTGGATAGCAAGGCTAACCCGTTGACCAAGGTTTTTTTGCCTTTTGATCACCAGTCACCTCGGTGAGTCTTAGATAATTCCTTAAAAAGGAACGAGCGCTTGGACCCCATGGTCCCATAGTTTCAGCACCAAACGGCACAAATATGTAGTTCTCATTGAGAGCTGAATATTTGTGCCTAGAGATGTGCCGAGTCAGGCTGACTCGAATACTGGCTCGAATACCTAGCAGGTACTCGAGTACTCGAAATATGGTATTCGAATACTCAGTCGTTGTACTAGTACAGTGAAGTTAGTAACGTGATTTGAACATGTTTATGTTTCCTACTCGGCCGCTCAGTTAAATGAGATGTTAACAATAGTTTAATTACATAATATTTGTTTCTTATAAGTAAATATCTATTTAATTAGACGAAGTCTCGGTTACCAGTTTAACTGTAGAATTTGTGTAAAGTTTTACGGTTTTTTAACTAAGTGACAACTAGTGACTTTGTAATAGGATGGCTTCGAAGAAAAAATCCGAAGTATGGAATTTTTATAATATTTTTCCAAATAAAAAAGTGGAGTGCAGTGAGTGTAAAAAACATTTGTTAATTTTGGAAACACCACAAATTTATAAAATCATTTGAAAACAATACATCCCTTGATTTATACAGTGATAATAGAAAAAAAGACGAGCGAGCCTTACAGTAGTCGCGGATGATGTGTAATATTTGAAATCTCAACTTATATACGTAAATATAGAAATAAAACCTACTACAAAAGGAATAAGCCATTGAACATTATGTTCTAAAATCAAATCAAATAGAGCGCGCTTTTGCGACTTTCTGTTACACACTTCCGTTCCATTACACGAAATCACTCCCACAAATTGCAGGAAAGCGAGAGGAAAGATGTCACACATCAAAAAGTAAGCAAAATGAAAACGAAAGCATGGATGAGAGTTCTGATTTGGACTTGGAGTCATTAGACTCAATAGCATCGTCATGGAGCTTATTAATATGATGATTATAATATTAATAAATTACTACATTTAATCTATTATTATTAACATATTTTCCTATCATTCATATAATATGAATTTTAATGATGATGATGAAGCAAATTTCAAGGTCTGATTCAAAATATACTCGAGACCAGTAAAGTATTCAAATACTAGTGCTAGTACTCGAATACCCATCCGAGTCTTTCGACTCGAATCCTAATTCGAATCTTTTTTTAACGAGTACTAAAATACTCGAATACCAAAAATAGCCGACTCGGCACATCACTATTTGTGCCGATTGGAGCACTTAGCAGAGGCCGCGCCGCCCGCCGCGCCCGTAGTAAGGGAGGTAGAACTTGTATGGCACGGAGCCATTGTTACCGTGCATGTTGCGTCCCATACAAGAGGACGACCATGCTTCCAAGGAATGAGCGTCATTTCTTCATGTCTCTCCATTATTTATCCATTAAAAATTATGATGAAAGCATCAGTACCAGATTTGACAGTAGGGACATAAGAAACAACTGGTATTATATTTCCCATTATATGTAGGCATTCATAAAATTTTTTGAAGCAAATAAATAGGAAGTTAATATGAAGTTTAATAATATAATCTATTTGTGGCCCAGAAGACGGACGGGGTGATAAGCTATAAGAACTGCAATTACTAACCTTTCATAATTCTCGAAAAATTGTACGGAGAGGAGAATGTTGTTTAAAAGGAACGCGTCAGCATCATTTCGCAACTGGTATCGCATGAGGCCCAATGTCTCGTCGTCAAAGGAGCGCAGGTTGGAGGGCTGAGCGGTGGCCGCTGGCCCCGGTGGCGGCCCGGTCATCGCCGTCATTACGTCAAGAGCCGGCTCCTTTGCTGCTGTCCGCTTGTTCGAAGGGTGCATCTTCTTCTTCCTTATCTCTTCCGACCGTTGCTCCTTCCATTTCTCCCTCGAAAAGAACTTGTCCGGTTCCTTTGAGGACATATTCACCTTCTTGTCCGATTGGCAAGTATTACCCATCATTCAGTTAGACCCGCTGAACTCTTCGACTTGTTTTCTGAAGTATATTATTGTATGGAGTTTTGTTTCACTTATTTGCAGCACATTTTTAATTTTTCTGATAGCATTTTATTAACACTGCCCGATTAGCACCTTCACTGTCGATGACCGTACGACACTGGTTTAGTTTTTCATTCACTACCTACTACGATTAAACTGAGGGCTTTATCGCATTTCGATGATTAATATACTTGATTGTTATCGCGTTAAATTGATTAGCTTTGCATTATTACATGAAAGACTTCGATAGATTACAACACATAACTTAAAATTTTGGTACATTCTGATTTTTGTCTTACATACACTCAAATGAATAATTAAAATCATTAAATATATTTTAATCTTAATGAAGTCGGGTGTGTGTTCAACAACGATATTTAATATCCTAGATACGCCACGTGTGCTCAAAATGTGTCCCAATCAAGAATTGCTTGAACACCACTCAAGCACTTCTTGGTTCACAGTCACGAGCGGGCCGTTGAAAGGTCAAGTTGCCCCAAAGCTCCGTAAAAAATCCGAAAAACAAACTTTTAGTATGTAAAGTGCCGTATTTTCGACAGGTATCTAATCAATGTTTGTAAATTTAACGCATTTGAAGCAAATTTTGTTCTAATACATACTATAAACTGATTTAATAAAAAAAATGTGATATTATATGTATAATACATGCATAATAGAGTAGAGAAACACTGATCATTTTAGAGGTTTTTAATGTAAGGTCGTAAATAAATCCTTTTTTTTTGTGCTTACATTGTAAACGCTGGCTGAACCCCACGAGACACATCAAAATAATGTACTACAGTATTGCACACCTTAAAAAGATCTACAAAAAAGTCTGCGATGGTAAATGTCTATCTCTTAGAGATAACCCAGAATATCCATTTTTTATCCTTTACATTTTAAGAGAAATAATGGCTTATTTACGAAGCGATTTTAAGCAATACACCATCAATCCATATCCAAGGAAGTACCTCAAATACATTGTGCATTAAATATAGATCAATATGGCCCTTTGAAGCATGTAATTTAAATGAGTATTTTTGAAGGTATTTCAGATTTAAGATCCAGGGACAAAGCGGTTACCCGGGGCCGGCGACGCGTGCCTTTAGTAATTATATATAAAAAATGGGTGCGTGTACTTATGTAGGCGCGTGAGAAGTTATCCTTCTTTGGCATCGTTTAAAATTAGTTTTTAATTGCATGCAAATAATTAATTACAATAAATTAATAAAAAGTCTGGAAAAGGACACAGTCAATAAAGTTCAGTTTTAATTTGAAAAAATTAATAAATAATCAAAATATTCAATTAAAATCGCTACTGAATATAATTTATTAGAACATATGTGATTTGCACTTGTATGAAACTCAAACACGTATTCCGAATACACAAACTAGAAACATGTGGATAAATATTATAAATATGAATACCTATAACTGTTACTTTATTACAAAAAATAAAGATGTGGTTTTTGGTTGTACTACACCAATGGTCAAGAGATGGCGCTGTAGTCTCCTGAATCGCGCTTTGGTTCCGTTGTTCCAGATTAATAAATACTTTTGATAGGCCTTCACAATGCAGTCGTTAGCACCCACTAAATAGACATTCTATTTCTATTTTGTTGGTAGATTTTCTCAATGTGCGGTAAACACAAAAGTAACAGCATGAAGTTGGTCGCTTTAGCTAAAGCGACCAACTTCATGCTGTTAAAATTTGTGTTACAGTGATGCGCGCGCATCTTAAAATTTCACTCTCATCATTTTTTCATAACGCGCCTAAAGAAGTATAACTTCAATAAAGTCATTGTTTACAAGTCTGAGAACAAAAACTATAGTCTACACTAAAGCAAAGCGAGGGCGGGGCACTAGTACTATTATAAGGGCCACAAAAAAACGTTTACTTCATTCACTTATCTTTTCATACTACTGTCCAAAATAATAGTAATTGTAATGTCTTCAGGGTTCGACACTTCTTACTTACGACTTCTTCGTGTGTTGTATTCATATATTTTTGCGTCAATGAGTAAAACATAATGTAATGTAAAATGTCATTTTTGTTGAAACTGCCGGGTCAGATTTTAAGCCCCTTTATATTTAAGTATAGTTCAGGTAACCCTGCATTAATAGCATTATATATCGGTATTATTTTTTAGTCCAATACCGGGGCGTATCCCGTTTGCTTTGAGGAGTAGATAATCATAAATATTAAGCAAGTACAAGTTCATTACACAAGCAGTTGCATAATTCATAATGTAAAGAAAAATTAACCGTATACACACAATAAACATAGGATTTTGGAAAATTTTACCTCTTAACGGTCGTAATTGATGTCTCTTAAGATGCATACGCATAGCGCGTTCCAGGGTATAAATTAATAATTATATCGCACGTCACAAACAATAGGGTATTAAGTCGGCAAAACCATTTATTTAATTTTTTGTGTTTCGAAAACGACATATTTTTCTCTATAAACTGGTAAGATAATTGTATTATAATGCAAAATAGTTTTTGAATTATAGCAACACATGTCGTCAATTTCTATTTATGATTTTGAGTATTCTGAACAGTATTATGTTAAGTTAATACCCTATTGCCCGTTCGGATTAATACAAGTTTGAAGTTTTATTTAAAATAAGACCCTCTGGCCTGTTCAATTTTATTTAATATGTTATTTTCAGCGAAATTATTTTAAAATGATACTAGTTGTAATTTTAACATGAGCCATTTGAACTGCTTATAGGGTATTCTCTTTACCCAGTCATATAAAAGTACTTTTAAAATAAAAAACTACTATTGATACACTAACTAACTCAACACAAAGAAGGATAATGTACATTTAAATTAAGGTATCATTTTAACCATTTGAACAAGTAGTTCCGCTTCTATGATTTTTTAATACTTCAAAACGCGATATATCAAAACACTGTTTTTGAAGAATACCCTTTTGTTTGTGACGTGCGATATGTGAGTATGCATATGGCGCATATAAGGTGCCTTATAATTATAACGCCATATGCATACTCATACAAAGCTACTCATAGAGTGTACGCGTAGCCACAAGTATTTATATGGCGTTCTAGGGCACGCGTACCCTCGATTGCGCTATCCGTACGCAGCTTGCTTGATACATCTATTAAGGTACTCCAAAGTTCTTTTTCTTATTTTACTTCTTTATTCTGTATTTTCACAATCAGGGCTTGTTTTTGTTTTCACAATTCGGCCAATATACCGTAAATAGTTTTTAAGAAGGATACAGACACAATTTAGAATTGACGGTTTCCATGCAGTCTGAATATGATTTTCTAAAACAATCGCATTAAACAGACTCAGAACTTCACCAGGAAAGGATGCAAACATAAAATAAACTTTGGAATATGAGAAAATATTTTTATTGGCTATTTTTTATATTTATAACGCTTTTGTATACTTTGGTCTACTTAATTCATTATCTTAATTATGATAAAATGGAATGTTTTAATATATTTTTTGTAAAATTAATACTTACTTGCTATCTTAATCGAATTACAATACAGGAAAACAACTGCAATATAAATACATATGTAGTTTAAAAATATACGTACAACTTATATTACTTGACATGTCTACTTGTTATTAAAATTAGTGTAGTCTTTACAAAATCTAGAGAAATCTGAATATTTACGTCATCATTGGAAATTTAAATGTTAAACATTGTTTTTATTAACGTATTGTGTTTTTTTAGTAGTTCCTGTTTGATGTAAAACAATTAGGAATTTCACTTAGTATCATAATCTATTCTTTAACAAATTTAACTTTGTCTTCTAATAAAACAATAATTAATAAGGTAATCGCTTTGAGCTTGTGTTATGATTTCGACTGCTAAGGTTAAGTACCTTTATAATGGCTGGTCATCAAATGGTGACCAATAAATATTTATTATCTCTGGCTTCTCTATTTGCAGCCATAAAATTCATAGCTTATAATGTGATAATAACAACATTACGTAAATTGTGTCAGGCCTTTATTTCTTTATAGAATATATATGCAACACAGCGTATTTCAATGCCCCAGCTATAGAAAACTAATTAAAAGTCATGGTATACTGTACAAAAAACTAAATAAAAAAATCAAGATTCCAGTAAAACGATAAAGGACATTGTTCTGCGTCCATACATAGTTAGCCTAAGAACCAACAAACATGAAATATTATTTTCTAGGTTCGAAATCGCAGGTAAATGACTGTAAAAACAAAGATTATTGACGGACACTTCTGAGAACTTAAATTATTAGGAAAACTAAAATTGTTTTGAGGTTATGTTTAATATTCAATGTAACATAGGTCAACCTATGAACTTAATATGAACTCAGTATGAAGTGAATTAATATTAGAACTAATTCATTTTATTCGGTGCGATTTTAAAGAATAACTGTTAGGAAAAACTTGGTTAGGTAGGAATCATGACTAAATATAAACTGTAGTTTTGCTTCTTATTATTTATTGACTATTTTTCACATAATTGTATCATATTGTTTATATTTGTTTAACACATGTATATTGTGTAAATATGCAGCGTGAATGTGTATCAGGTGCTCATGAATAATTTGGCAGTATGATCTTCTCAGGATGTTGTGGCACAGGTTCACTAGCACTTGGTAATAAGGTCTCTAAGGTTACCAAAGTTGGTGCTCTTTGGTAACATCGATGGCATATTAGATAGCCGAAATAGTAATAGTTAAATTAGAGGAAAAACAATCGCAAATAAACACACACAACAGGTAATCCGAAACGAGAATTTTCCGTATATAAAAAGTACTCTTTGACGAGAATGCACGAATGCCACAGATTACTACGAATGCAAACTGCCTGCACCACAACCACAGAGTATCGAGTTTATACCGGCTCTTCACTTGACAAGTTTGTCCTTGTCATGCTTAATAAGGAATGAAAAGGACAGACTGATGTCATGCTTTTAAATAGCAAATACGAATAGCCAAGTGAAGTGCCAGCATTAGGAAGAAAGTGTTTTTTGTTTGCAGCGCTGTCATAGATTATACACATAAAATGGTATTTATTGTCTCAGATTATTTAATAACTTTTTAATTTAGCTTACTTAACTAGAAGTGTCCGTCACAATCTAAATACTGATAATTATCGCAAAAAATATACTAAGAATTATCAGAAATGCAAAATCGGTGTTGGTTCTTAGGCCAATTTTAACATTGTCCTTTAGCATACTCATTCTATTAACTTTGGAATAAAGTAAAGTAAGTAGTAATAATGTTAAATCGAGATTCAGCAAAATTGCTGCAAGTAAACCGTCGAACATTGCTTATTTGAAATTTTATTTAAATAAAATGGAATCTATTTTTTAATTATTATTTTACGGCCGTAACTTTCACCTTTTCAGCGTTCCAGTAGTACATATGGCCGTAACCAAAAAAACAAGTAGAATTGGCACACAATACTATGACTGTATCAAAAACTACGAGGTAATTCAATTAATTAGGGTATATTCCGTAAGATTTCAGCTGGAGCTATGCTAATCCCGGATTCCTCCATGTTGGCCGTTATGCTGACGTCATCGGCCTCTGGGTGCGTGTTCACTCTTCGTTGGTTCTTAAGTCTCTTCACTTCGTCCATTTTCTTCTCCAGCATCCGTCTGTTGACAAAATATTTTTAATTTTAAGCATTTATCTGACATTTGTAGCGGCAAACGACTTGAGCAAAACCACAGGCAATCAAACTTGCGCGGTAGACGTTTTTGTATGTAAAATTACTACTGCGCTGGCTACCTTTTCTATGGTCGTTGCTCAAGAAATTTTCCGGGATGTAAAGATATATAAATCTAAAGAAAATTAGTAGCAAAAAATCCACTCGGCCTAGGCACCAGACGAAGCGGAAGGTGCAACTTCAAATCAAAGTAAATCAAAGTTCAAATCCTGTTTGATGCCTAGACCGAGTGGATTTATTCTTTGGTACGCATATAGTTTATGACCTGGATTGAGACATAGATTATTTTGTATCTCGGAAAAATGGCAGGTTCCTGAGGGATTCTCAAAAAAATCTAAACTTGTCGGGGTCGACCGTTTGTATATACTATTCAAAGGCTTGTACAGACGAGGGATTTAGGCCGTAAAGGACAAAAATCCCTGTCGCGATAAAAATGACTACAGACAACTTGTCACGGACTTAACGCACACATTGTACCAACATTTGCTGCCCGAAAATTTAGACAAGCGCACGTTATGGAAGCAAATATTTATTTATTTTATTCTTCATGCACAATTTTACAATGGATGGCGCACCCGATAACGTTGTGTTATAATTCTGCCGACCTACTGAAGAATGCAGTAAGAGCTATGACATGATTTTGTGAAAACGGCGTTTAAAGTTCTTCTTTCTTTTTTAATGGCCTAACGGGTATATACCCACAATTCCGCCAATTTCACGTCGATAGTCACTACACGACAGGGATTCTTAATAAAATGAATATTGAAACATGAGGTTGAAAATACTATATTAAATTTTTGTCATTTCCTATGTTGATTT